CTGCAAACTCTCAATTCTCTCCGCCACCGAAGAAGGAATCTGAAAAAGGGAGATAAAATAGGTGGGAAAGCAAGAGAGAGTGCTCTTGATTAGAGTGACCCGCCCCCCTTTGGAAAGGTACTGCTTCTTCCAACCTGCCAATCTCTTCTCAAATCTATCCACCACCGGATCCCAACTCCCCACACATCTCGAAGGAGCACCCAGAGGCAAACCTAAATAAGAAATAGGAAATGAGCCAGTGCCACATCCGAGGATCTGAGCAAACATCTCAATATCAGGAACATCCCCGACCGGAACTAAAACACTCTTTCCAACATTCACTTTAAGCCCAGAGACGACTTGGAACCAAATCAATACACATCTCAAATGTCTCAGCTGGGACACATCAGCATCACAAAGAACCAAGGTTTCATCAGCAAACATCAAGTGAGAAATCTCTAACTGACTAGCGACATCTCTACCCACTCGAAAGCCTCTCAACAATCCCAGATCAACAGCCTTTTTCAACAACCTACTAAGAGCCTCTATCACAAAAAGAAAAAGGAAAGGAGAAAGCGGATCCCCCTGTCTCAAGCCCCTCGAACTACAGAAAAACCCCGTCGGAGCTCCATTCACAAGGACAGAAAAACGCGCACTAGAGATACAAAACAGAATCCATCTCCTCCAACGCTCCCCGAAACCCATCCTCTCCATTAAGTGGATGAGGAAACTCCAACACACATGGTCGTAAGCCTTCTCAATGTCCAACTTACACAAAACACCCGGAACCCCACTACTCAGCCTGGAGTCCACACATTCACTAGCAATAAGAACCGAATCCAAAATCTGACGACCTCCCACAAAAGCATTTTGAGAATCAGAAATGACGCCATCCAGAACCTTCCTTAGCCTAGTGGCTAAGACTTTGGCAAGTATCTTGTAAAAACAACCCATCAAACAAATAGGACGAAAATCCCTAACATCCAGCGCTCCTCCCTTTTTCGGAACAAGGGCAATGAAAGTGGCATTCAAGCTCTTTTCAAAAGAGCCATGAGCATGGAAAGCATGAAAAGAGCCCATCACATCATCTCGGACCACTTCCCAACACTCCAAAAGAAAACGCAAAGAAAAGCCATCTGGACCTGGGGCTTTATCCCCATTACAGTTCTTCAAAGCAGACAAGACTTCCTCTTCAGAGAAAAAGACCTCCAAAAGAGAACAATCCTCATCCGAAATAGAGTCAAAATGAAGCCCAGCCAGTAAAGGTCTCCACTCAACCGGTTCAGAGAACAAAAATAAAAAGTAATCAGCAAAACTCTTAGAAATTTCATCTATCCTTGCAAAACATCTCCCCTTCCACCCGAATCCTCCCGATATGATTGCCTCGTTTGTGAGCATTAGCAAGTCTATGAAAAAATTTCGTGTTGTTGCACCTTCCTTGAGCCACAAAGCTCTAGACTTTTGCCTCTAAGAAATTTCCTCCATGACCGCAATCTTAGCAAACTCCGCCTGACACTCCACCCTCCTGAGCTTCAAGGAATCTGACAAAGATCCTTGACCTTCCAATCTATCAATGTCTGCAATCTCAGAAAAAAACCCGATTCTTCATCCACGCAAGATTATTGAAAATCTCTTTGTTCCAGACTTTGAGGTCATTTTTCAAAAACCGCAGCTTACCTGCAAATGAATGACTAGGGGTGCCAGCAACAACATACCCCACCCACCAAGATCGGACACGATCCAAAAAACCTTCAGCCCGAAGCCACATATTATCAAACCTGAAGGGGATCTTCTACTGCGCAACCCACCACAGTCCAACATCAAAGGAATATGGTCAGACAAAGGACGAGCTAAAGTGGTCTAGATAAAATCCGAAAAGTGCTCCTCCCAATCACTCGACACCAGGAATCTGTCAAGTCTAAAGAAGGTAGGGGGAGAACGACCACTCGACCAAGTGAAGGGCTTACCCACCAAAGGCAAATCAATCAAACCAAAAACATCAATAAACTCCGAGAAAGCCTCCATCTCGACCGTCCACCTACCACCTGAAGATCTCTCAAACGGGGAACGAACAACATTGAAATCCCCACCAATACACCAAGGCAAAGACCATCTCCTATGAACCTCTCCCAACTCCGCCCAAAGCAAATGACGCACACAATCCTCAGTAGGGCCATAAATACCAAAAAAAATCCAACGAAAATCATCCTCCAACACAGAGAAAATGCAGGAAACAGAGAAACGTCCAACCTGAGAATCCATCATAGAGACCCACCGATTATCCCACATCACAAGAACACCACCAGCAGAACCAATAGCATCCAGAGCAAACCACTCCACAAATCTACCTCCCCATAAACTACACACCAACAAATCCGTCATCGTCTCAATCTTTGTTTCTTGCAAACACACAACATGCCCACCCCCTTTATGAATCACTGCCTTCACCACTTTTCTTCTAATCGGATCATTGAGACCCTGTACATTCCAAGAAAGGATTTGTAGCTTCATAAGGAAACAACAGATTGGATAGACACATCCCTCCCTCCACCACCCTTTTCCTTACACCCCTTGTTCTTTCTCTCATAAGTGACAAGAGCCGTTGGGCTCAACACTCCCCTCTCCTCAACCTCCAACTCCCCCGGCATGCTCCCCCTACTCTCCCTACCACCCATTCTATCCAAATTCTGAGAAGACAGAACCTCTAAAAACATATTCGTCGCCTCCTCCATTCGTCCTTCAAGAGAAACTCCCAACAAAGAGCCAATTTCAATTCCTTTCTCCCTCACCCAATTGTCCTCCAAAACAACCCTTCCTGAATCAGAACCAGCCCCATCCACAAAAACCTCATCCGGATGAACAACCGCCAAAAAGCAAAGAAGTCAAAATTTGTCTCATTGCCATTCCACTGACCTGACCCCAAATCCTCAAAAAAAGAGCATGACCCACCATCCCCGTCCTCAAAGACTCACGAGGGAGGAGAATAACCACCCAGTAGAGTCCCATTAACCTCAGCAGCCAAAAACCCACTCGTCCCACACTGAAAACCCTTTAAAGCTAAATGAGTCCGCAACTCACTCAGCAACACAGTCGCTGAAGCATCATCCAAACAAATTTTCATATCACGTCCCACACAAACTGTGACACTCTCATTCTTCTGATTCACAGACCGAGATATACCTAATCCAACAACGTGGCAAACCCCAACACCATCCTTTCGCCCATTCTCCAAACTATCCTTCAAATTATAGGAAAAACTCGACCCCCTTTGAGAAGGAAAAGGAGCAGAGGGAGAGAAGAAACAAGAAGGATATGCCTTAGAAACAACAGTGGACTTACCCAGATCCAAATCCGACTGCACAGACGTCACCCATTTTTGTTTATCCTTTCGTGTCCAACGTTTGTGAAAAGCAGGAAGACGGATCTTTTTCTTAGGAAGACGTATTCGCTGCACCCGATCCCTAGCACGCCGATCCTCCTTGACTCTTCCAGAAAGTTGCGAGTCACTACCAACCGAAGCAGAAGTCAATGGCTCAAAATAATTCTTCAAGTCAGGCCCATAGCAAGAAGACCCACCAACCTGCCCAGTATTCAACCCAGCTGACCCATCAAGCGAATGGGCACCCGACCTGCCAACCAACCCATCTTTAAAAGACTGGGTATCCGATCCACCATCCAACCTCAAATCACAAACAGGCTTGCCAATAATTGGATGCCTCTGAACAGGCCCACAAGAAGAAGTACAGCCCTCACTAACAACTAAAGCCCCAATCCCCAGCCCAACATCAGGCCCGTCATCGCGTATGATCTTTGTATTCTTACCAGCCCACTTAGCGAAATTTGAAAATTTCGTGGAAACAACTGTATTCCACTGTGAACGGGCAACTCCTGGGAGCCAACCACGTGGTTGGTCAACAATTCTCCCCTTCCCACTCCCACGCGCTTGTTGCGCGTGAACACCACCACGACAAAACCCTTTCTGTTCCCACCGCTGCAAAAATGGCCGACGACTAAACCCGGTGGATCCTCCATTCCACTGCATCTTCCAGAAATCAACCGGCTGACGCCGATTCAAACCAGACGAGAGCCCATCCCTACGTTTCTAAACAAAAAGCCTCTGGAAACATTCCTTATTACGAATCCACAACGCATCTCTCCAATTCTTCCATCTCTGGAACTCTGCCATTCCCTTTTTCCACATAGATTCCCACCTCAACCATTCTTTTTCCTTAAGCAGATGTGAACCATCACCTCCTTCCAAGCAATCCGTCGTCGGAACAAGCTCGGGGTGCTTCTCCTCCCACACTGCCACCTTGTAACAGTACCGATCATCATGAACGAACACAAAAGGTGGACAAACCTTTCCATCAGCGACTATAATACGAACTCTTTCAGCATCAATGGCCTCATCGGCCTCCACCCAGATAAACCCACCGCACAAATCGCCTACTGTCACAAACAAAGCATGACTACACAGGTGAAGTGGAAGGCCAAAAATCGTCACCTTCTTCAACCCCTTCTCTTTCAAGATCTCCGAACACCCGACCCTGAAATTCCAAGTATCCACATGAAGAGTTGCCTTCCCCCAGTCACGTCGACCTTCTTTAAGAACTTGAGATGCTTCGACTGCTGAGGGAAATCGAAACAAAAGAAGCGAGTCAGGCAACGGCGAGACCGACACACTAGTGTAGATCTTCCAAGCTCTCGAAGCCCACGCTGCAATCTGTGCTCCATCGCCTACTTCCTTATCAAAAAAGCCAACCAAGCACGACCTAAGGTCCACTTTTCTCCTATCAACCGAGTCATCATCCAAATAAATCGATGGTCCCCTATACGGATTTGCAGATCTCGCAACACCACCTTGAAACAGTCGAGGCAATCTTACAACTTCCAAGAACGAGCGCATGACAAAGATGAAACGAACAACTCACAAAAACACTCCAGAAACAACAAATCACTCGAACAAAAGGAAATAGAAGAAAAGTAGTAGAGGATTTTACCGGAGTTAATGACTCCGGGGACTAGTCGGAGTAGAGGACTCCTACCGCATCCCTACCACGCCTCTAAAAAAACATGTGAAAGTCCCTAATCAGGTAAGAAATATAAATGTTAATAACTCAAGTAATTTTTTTACAAGAAAACAACAAAGTGGTTTGATCGAGATAGTTGGTGCTGTACCCTAAAAATAAGTGTTTCCAATCGTGGCGACCTTTCAACAAAATATAGTAACCCTTCACATCCAACAAATATATCATCAAGCTCTGCATGAAACTCCAAATAAGTCAAATGGTTAAACTTTGGTAATGATAACCTGCACAACTCAAATCTCTACATGCAAAAAGAAAGCAAATTCGAGTCAAGTAAATACTATTATAAAAGTAATAGGCATATGTAGTCTCAAAAGTACATTTGGGCATATATATATATATATATAAAGTAGACACAGAATTGAGCATGCTAACCTCCGTCCAACCACCCCATAAAAAAAGCAACTTTACTTTAGATATTCCTTCAAAAATTTCTGATATAGCAAGTTCTGACCTATCAGGAACATCGCTGGGTAGTCGATCGAGAAAAATGTCTGCTTTGACAAGAGCATTTAATTCATTCAATGAATAGCCTTCTGCTAAATAGTCTCCGTGCTCAAGGTCTTGAAGATTTGGTGTATTAAGCACAATCTTGTACTTAGAATCGGAATCCCTATAACATTCGCATTTTATAGTTAATCTCTTAAGAAGAGGAGCAGAAATGTTTAAAACATTAATATTTCTCCAATTGCATTCTTCCATGGACAAATCTTCAAGCACAGGGCAGCTAGAAAACAACCTATAAATTGAGTCATCATTCAAAAATGTAAGATACTCAATTGCAAGGATTTTAAGACACGGTAGACAAACCAAAGTAGGAACATTGAGATCGAATCTACCATCCAGTTTAAGTACCACCAGACTTCTACAAGTAAATAGCTCACGAGGCAGACTCGGAACACGTTAAAGATGAAGTTCTCGGAGATTACGCGATACTACAGTTGAAACCCATACACAAAGATGTGAAACATCATAATCCCGAACACATCTCAGATGAAACTTCTGCAAATCTGATACGGAACGTGCAAGTACTCGGTAAACAAAATTTATGAAGCTCATTTCCAATAAACTTTGTTCATGTTTGTTTTGCATACGAGGATCTTTACTTACAACTAAAGAATAATCATCAAAGTCCAGATTAGTGATTGAGGTCCAGAGAAACTTCCATTTGGTTGACAAGACACTCGTTGCCACCGCATTCTTTGTTGGAAGGAAAGAGAGGATATGGCCAATGAGACTTGCTGGTAAGTTGCTAATCATGTCTTCATTACATTCCACTCTCAGTTTCTTAAAATGCTTCGGGCGTTTTGAAATTGAATCCATCACTTCAGTGACCGTTTGCTGCTCAGAAAAAAGAAATATGAACTCATGTCCATAAGTTATAATGCCAGTGAAACAATGTGATCAACTTATATTTCTACATATAGAGTTTTGAACTAGCTATTTAACTATTGGTTGGATAGTACAAGGCTGTAAGCGAACCAAGCCAAGACGAGTTTCCGTGCTCGATTTGTGTTTGATTGAGCTCTTCCTAGCCTAGCATCGAGTTCGGTTTGACAAATTTCGAACAAAATTCAGTTACTCAAAGAATCAATAGGCATACAATCTGTGTGTATACATATCTATACTACTACTAAATGCACATAATATGTTACTTTACTTTATATGATATGCACACAGTTCAAATTGCATTGGAAAAGTTGAAAAGACATAGCTGGGATCAAATAATACTCCGTATACAGTATGGAAACCCTAGAAAAACAAAGCAATGCCACATTCTCCACCATCAAAGTATTCATCGCAACTCAAACATTAATATGACCTATCAAAATTCTTGGAAATCTACTAATTGCATGAAATTTACACTGAAAAAAAAAAAAAAAAAAAAAAAAAACACTGCAAATTGCATGAAACCAAAACAAAGAGAAAGATGAAGACATATTTACATATACCTGGAAATCTACTAAATTGCAGTCGTGAAGATGTATTACAAGCGTATTGGTGGCCGATCGGTGGTGGTGGTTGTCGTCGTCGTCACCGTTGCATCGATTTTGCTTGCGTTACCTTCTTGCAAAAATAGACAATGTGCTTGGGAATTATATATGGGCTTGGGCTGTAATATAAGCGAAATTAGGTTGGACTGGTTTTATATATTATGAATTGGAATGAAAATTGGACAAAAATAAATAAATAAATAAATTGAATGAAAAATTGAAAATACATATGGGGATGGCAATTTTCTCTGACCCGGCAGGTTTTCGCCCCACCCCCGTCTCTAATGGGATGGATTTAGTGGCTCCTAAATGGATTTGGGACAAGTATGGTAAAATAATAAAAAAACGCGAAGCGGGTTGGTGGTAGGGGCGGATTTAGTGATGAACCCGCCCCGACCCCGTCTGATTATATTTGAACCTTTTAATTTTTTTTATATATAAAATATATATTTTATATTTTTAAGACTCTTTATGAAGTGTCCGTTAATATATTAATAATTACTACTTAATAATTTAAAAGTTAAGCCAGCTTATTTATCGGTCCAATTTGAGCTCTGGGCTAGTTTTTTTTTACTATGTAATAAAGTGGCATAACCCGGCCCGCCCCGTCGTGCCCTGCAATTAAACGAAGTACATGGGATGGAGTCAGTACTTTGTTTATTGAAATAGGGACGGAGATTGTTTCATAATTATAAACCCGTTCCGAAGTTGGTGTAATAGATTTTCTAATGGAACGGAGTAGGGTTTAGCCAAACCCATCCCAACTCTGCCCCGTTGTGATCCCTAAAAATACATGACCTGTTTGGTTCATCTCTGAAAACCAACAAAAAAAAATGCATCCAAAAAAAGCCTTTTTTGGTTGCAGTTTTATGAAAATAAAATAAAATAAAAAATATATATTTTAGATAATTTAACTAAACATATTCAAAAATTCTTTAGAAAAATTTACGGCTTGAAATTAATAGTTATAAACAAGCCTATTCATCAATGTATTCACGAGTTGAAGTACATTTGAAATTGATCTATTTTTTAAATTTTTATTCTAACTCTAAATCAGTTTATTTGTTAAATAAATGAATACTCTGGGCAAATCTAAATTGTTCACGAACGGCTCAACTCATTTGTTGCGTGTCCTAGATTACCAATCACCCACACCCTTAGGATGCAATCCTAACTTAGCCCACACTATCAATCAGCCCATACTCAGCCCAATGGGTCAATGTGGGAGATCACTGACTTTTTCGGTCCAATCCCACTCAACATGCTTATTAGAGTTGTGGAAGGATGGACAAAATTTTATATATAATAATATTTTACTCCGGAAGGAAAAAATTTGAATGAAAGGGAGAGAAAAATGATGACTAAAATTGAATGGAAGGGAGAGAAGAAAGGATGAATCATGAATGAGATATCCATATGAAGAGATTAAGCATTTTTCTCTTTTTGTTCAGTTGGATGGAAGAGAATGGAAAAAACTGACAATTGAATTTGATTTGTAGGATAAAATGAAAGATAAATTTTTAAGTATTTTTACCTTTAAACGCATCTCTTACTTCATTTATGAATTTATTAAATATTTATGAAGGGTGATGTAGTAATTTTTTTATAATAGGCTCACGCTCATGAAAATTTGTGAAGGAGGTAAAAAAATTTATTCCTTCCTTTTTCTATTTTCCTTCCACCGAACATATAGTGCGTTGCACCATGAGTAAAATCTAATTTAAAATTAATATTTAATAAAGTAATTAAATAATTATTTTTTAAAACAATAATGAAAATTAATTTTTTAAATTAATAATCACATTGATTTCTTAAATGATCAATCATCATAAAATTAACAAAACTTAGAAGAGATAAAGATTGTAATTTTTATTTGAACTTTTCAAACGGAATTCGATTATTGATAGATGTATTTTCAAAATCCTAAAATAATATCAAAATTAAGATAATTTTTTTTATTACAATTTACTAATATTAATTTAGTAATAATATTCAACAAATCAATGAAACTCTTTCTAAAAGAGAAAATAAAAATCTTAGGCAATATATAATATATATATATATATATATATATAATAATAAGATAAGTACTTGTTTTGTGGTAGAGTTTTATAGAAACTCGAAACACCATCTAATTTAAAATTAATATTTAGTAAGGTAATTAAATAATTAATTTTTTAAACAATAATTAAAATTAACTTTTTAAACTAATAACATTATCAATCAACATAAAATTAACACAAGGTAAAGGAGATAAAGATCTTAATTTTTATTTGAACTTTTCAAAAGGAATTCAATTATTGATGTGTATTTTCAAAATCTTAAAACAATATCAAAATTTAAACAAATTTTTTTTAATTACAATTTACTAATATTTTTTTAGTAATGAATAATATTCAACAAATCAATTAAACTCTTTTAAAATGAGAAAATAAAAACCTTAGGCAAAATATATATATATATATATATATAATAAGATAGGTGTTCTGTGGTAGAATTTTAGAAAAACTCTTTAATTAAGAAAATAAAAAACTCATAATAAACAGGTCTACTAAAAGAAAACGTTAGGGGTATCATTGAGCATAAGTGCCAAAATTGAGAGAAGATGAAAATAATAAATGGTAAACATTCTAATTCATGTACTCCCTCTATCCTAAAATTCTTGTGGTGTTTAGGGAATCCAACTTTGTATAGTGGTGGATTTTAAATATTTTTTTATTGTATTAATATGAGTGAATTTTCAAATTTATCCTTGTTAAAATGCAAAGGAGTACTCTGTAATTAGTGAACTTGTTTAATCAAGTTAATATTAAAATAATAGTTTGGGAATGTTATAAAAAAACTGTATATTAATTTTTAAAATGAGATATATATTTTGGGACTTTCTAAAAGAGAAAGATGGAGAAATTTTTTAAAACGAGGAAGCTGAAGTTACCCAAATATGGAGGTCACTCTAAGTTACCCTTATTTTTAGTAGCCCTTACATATAGAAACTCTTATATCCCATGGCCTATTACAATTTGGGCCATTATTTTACACTTCTGTTATGTTTGGGGATTGGTGCTTTGAATTTGAAATTAGAAGTAGTTTAGTTCAAAATTTATAATAATTTTTTTCAAATCCTAACCAAACATATCATTATATATATCAACAACACACATTTACACAATAATTTTTTTTTTTTTAGTTGGTACCACGCACATATGTTCCTTTGAAAAGTTACTGCTTCCGACTGGGTTAGGATTTGATACCATTTGTAACCACATGGTATGATATTGTTCGCTTTGAGCCTGAGCCCGCACGGTTTTGCTCTTGGGTTTCATCCCAAAAGGCCTCATACCAATTAGAGATGACACACCTATATATAAGCACTTCTCTTTCTTCTACCCAGACGATGTGGGACTGTACACCCGTAACTCGTTAATGTGGTAGCATGTCAGTTCTCTCGTACCCGCACACGACACACCTGCCCACAGGGACATCACAAATTATATATTTTTACTATATACATACGGATATAGGGTATATTATTGATAAAAACTATGCAATTTGGGGTAAAATGTAAAGGGAAAGATGTTTTAGATGGACATTAGTTCAGATGATCCTGTTAAGGATAATATTATGAGTCAGTATGTGTTTACTTGAATTTAAAAAAAATAAAAAATTAAATAAAAATAAAAGTTGAAAATTATTGGATCAAGTTATGGTAGTGGTTGAGTCCGATGGGCCAATGCGATAGATCACTGACTTTTTCTTCATAAAGGCAGTAATAATCAAGGTCATTCCCAATTTCCAGTCAACGGGCTTTGTTATTCCACTTACAGGGTAGTTGTGGATGGATTGACAAACTATCAATAATAGAGTCCCACGGATTAGTGGAGTTGGAAAAAGAAAGAAGTCTCGACTTCAATTTTTATCTCGGACTTCTTTGGTATAGGGTCAGTGTGGGGATACGGAACTTAATGATGAAAAATTAAGGGAAAGAAAAGACAATGCTGAGAGTAAATCATTCCGATTGGTCCTGAATTTCATGAAATATTAGGTCTTAAATTCGAGCCTAGTAAATAATTTTCGTAAAGTACTCACGCAAATTGAAGTTATAATCATGCTGAATCCTGAACATATCGTGTAAATGCCATTTGTGGAATGTTAGATTTGACCATTTTTGTGAGGTACTCACACGAGTTAAAGTTATAATCAGATTCAGCCTGAGCTTGTCCTTCCTATAAACGTGATTTGTTATGTGTTAGACTTAACCCTCTCCATACTTTTTTAAAAAGTCTAATAAAGTTCAATTACACCCTAAGAAAGATCTCATTCATATTTATAAGAAATTCGATGCTTCTTTTTTAATGACTCTTCTTATGCACAAATAATTGTCTAAAAGTGGAATGAAGCCAACTCCTTCCCTCCCGCGAATGAGAGGGAATTGTGATTGGAACCGTTGCTTGCGTGTCGAGAAGTGGATTAAATACCTACTTTGTGAAAGAAAAAAAATAAAACAAAACAAAAATTTAGTATGACAGTTAAAATGCATTTGAATCTGCTATGTTAATTATTCAAATTATTATTTTTTAATAGAGTTAATTTAATCAACCTTTTTTTCCCCTCTAAAATATAATCATCAATAAGAATAAAATGATTAAATTTACGACATAAAAAACGTAAATTTATCATTAGTGGTCTCACTATTCATATACCCTAGGTTATTAAATAATTAAAAAATGTGTCACATGATACTATATTTCTTTGACTTAATTTTACGAAATGTGAGTTCACGATGAAAAACACTTTCGTATTGAATTGCTTTTAATGACAATGACATAAAAATCTCTCTCTAGCTCTCTAATTTTTTGATTGGCTTTTTTTCTTCTTTATTGTTTGGGGAGATTCGCTTCCTAAACGTATCCATCCAAACAGATCTGTATGGCGGACAATTACATCGATCTCATTTGTGCCCCCATAGTTGTTGATCTTGGGCCCACCACCTTGAATAGGACGTGAATGTAAATCGATCAATTCCCAATTTATTTTATTTTATTTTTTGTGGTGGGTAGTACTTTATAGTTGTGGACCACCGATTCATTCAGTGCATTTCCTTTTTATTTATCTATTTATTTTATCATGTGTTTTGTCTTTATTTGTTTTTTTGAAAAAATAAATTAAATGATACTCAGTATTTATTAACCTTTCAAAATAAAAAGTGTACGACAATTTAAGACTTCGTAAGGACAAAGTGAGTTTGTGAATGTGTTTTTTTGTCAATAAAGGAAAATAAACAGTATGTTCTTTTATAACATTAAAAAGAAACGAAAGAAAAATAACTTTTTATGATTGGCTGGAGAGAAGAATTGAGAGGAATGGATGAGAGGATAGTTAATAAAATATTTCATATTTGGTTGGAAAGAAGGGATGACGGAGAGCAAGCATTTTTTAATTTTCATTTTTAACCTTCATAAAAATTAAAAATAAACATTTACCTTAAAAATAAACATTTACCTTTTGTAATTGTATATAACGAGGGTATATTAGTAAAAGAACTTTAAACACTCTATTTCTCTTATCTCAACCAAACAAGAAAAAAAAAAAAAATTATCCCATTTACCATTTCTACTATTTAATCTATTTAACCAAATATGAGAGAGATATCTTCCTTTCCCGATTTGTTAATGCCTAGTCCATTCCTCTCCCTCTTTCTTCCATTTATTTTTTCTATCCTACCAACCAAACCAAGCATTGTAGATCAAGAAATTCATCTTTAAGAATTGATCAATTTAATATATGGATTGAATTGTGAAAAAATTATCCAATGAAAAGTTACTGGCTAGATATAATATTCTCTCTTTCCAAATTAGAAGCCCCACTCATTCAAATATCTATATTTTTTTTTTTATGGACAAGAAACATAAAAAAAAAATGGTTATTATATTATTTTATGGACTCAGAAATAAAATAAGAAATGAAGACAATATGTGAGAAATAAAATAAGAAAGGAAGAAAATATGTGAGAAATAAAATAAAAAAGGTTGAATCGGTTCACCAAACATTCTGACCGACAACAACAGGTAACGCAGGAGCCAATTGACCGGCCGAGCCGGTCAATATAACGCCGTCTGGAACAATAATTTAGGCCTCTCCAGAACAAGGTTCGTTGCCTCCACACGTCCTTCAACTCCTCAGCTTTGAAATTCCCGGCAAACACAAGCACTTATCACCGTTTACACAGGTTCTTCTCTCTCTATATATCTATATCTGTATATATACATATGTTCTATAAGTCACCAGATTTAGTTGTTAATTTGATAATTTTGGTGTATGAAATTGATATCTAGGGTTGTTTTTTATTGAAATGTTGCCCGAAATGCCCAAGTTTTTGAATGATTTTGGGTTCTAATTGGGTTTTCAGGTTGTTGATTGATTCTATGCTGTTTCATTTGTAATTGGATGCTTGTAGGATGTAATGTTCTGCATAATTTGTGCCGTCAAGTGACAGAAACTAGCATAGACTTGTATGTGTTTGTATCTAAATGTTTTGATGAATGTATAGCTCTTAATATCCACAATTTTAAGTATGTTTGATTGGTTAGATATTCTAGCTGTGCAAAAAGTTTTGGGTCAAACTCCGATCCATGTTTTAGAACATTTTTTTCACCATCATCCTTGTAGAAATTCTGTGCGTGTAGTTTGAAGAGCTTCAATTGTGGGGCTACAAAGGCTTTGACACCAAATCCTGGAATTGGCAGATTGGTTGCTAACTCTTTTTGAAGTCGTTTTTCTTATCATTTCAGATAATAGATTTAATTGTGGTGATAAAAGTACATCATCAATGGTTCACTTAATTGTACTACGGGTATCATTTATATTGAAACTTTAAAGTGCATGGTATAAAAAAAAAATGGTGAATATATCATATACTCATCAATAAACTTGCAGAAAACTAGGCAAACATACATGTTTGTGCACAAAACAAATATACATAGGTGCTTTTGGATCATAAGGCTAATATAATGTTGCCAATCTAGTGTCGATGCTTAAGCTCATGCTCAGGTAAATTACCTTAAACGCCAGGTTGGGAAGAGTAAAAATTGAGGATAGAACTTTGCATTCTGACATAGAAATCCTGAATGTGTTTATTGCGTAATTGGAAAGCAGTGCATCCATTGTTGCACATGGCTGGCTGCCTATATGAATTGGTTAGTATGAGATTGCTGTATTCTTGATATCTTTTTTCAAACATATGATTTGTAACCTGTCACTGGGAGAGGGAATGCTCACGAATGAACTGCAGCTCTTATAGTTTTTAAATCTAGTTTGAGTCTTCTTGTTTTTAAAGTAGCTTTAAAAATTTCCATCGAATTAGTGGGATTTGGTCTCCATCAATCCATTTTTTGAGTTGGTTACTTCATATTCAAAAAAAGTTTACAAAACTTGGCTTTGTGATCTCATGACAATTAATCCACAGGACTGGCTTAACTACCCCTTCTAGCAAATTTTTTTATTTTTTGTTATTTACTTTGGCAAGAAACACACCCACACACCCACTTGACCCTATGGAGACTTGAACCCTCAACCTTGTACTTTGGAAGGCGGGGAAGTACCAGTAGGCCACAACCTTTGGTGGTCTTCTAGCATTTATTTTTTCTGGAGCATTGGTGGCTCTCCATATTGTAACATCACATTTGAGGAAGAAATGAAAGCTTGTTGATTGATTTGAGGAAGAAATGAAATATTGATGGTTGATTTTGACCTGGGATACCGGTTTATATAGCGAGATTGCAAGAGTTGTTATTCTAGACATACCAGGGGGTTGAGACCATCACCAGAGTTCCATGTGTGTGTGTGTTTGTGTGTGTATAGAACATGTTATTTCAGATGCATCATGTAAAACTCCCTCTGCATAAACAAGTGAAGTAGTTGGTTTAATGATGCATAACTGCTATTTTTAAGATATCCTGCAAAATTTCTGTCAAATTTGCAATTTAAAAAGTCAAGTTTGACCGCCAATGGCTGCAGCCTATAGCCTAGTGGTACTTCCTCACTGAAGGCCAAGGGTTCAAGTCCCCATAGGAGCAAAGTGGCTGTGCGAATGTCCTCCTCCCCTCCTCTCCCCACCTTTGTTGGTCTTCTAGTATTTATTGTTTCTGGAGCATTGGTGGCTCTCCATGTTGTAACATCACATTTGAGGAATAAATGAAAGATTGTTGATTGATTTGAGGAGGAGATGAAATATTGATGATTGATTTTGACCTGGGATACCAATTTGTATAGCGAGATTGCAAGAGTCGTTATTCTAGACATACCAGGGGGTTGAGAGCGTCACCAGAGTTCCATGTGTGTGTGTGTGTATATATATAGAACATGTTATTTCAGATGCATCATGTAAAACTCCCTCTGCATAAACAAGTGAAGTAGTTGGTTTAATGATGCATAACTGCTATTTTTAAGACATGCTGCAAAATTTCTGTCAAATTTGCAATTTAAAAGTCAAATCTGACTGCCAATGGCTGTAGCCTATAGCCTAGTGGTACTTCCTCACTGAAGGTTGAGGGTTCTAGTCCCCATAGGAGCAAAGTGGCTGTGCGAATCTCCTGCTTCACTCCCCCTTACTTTCCACCCCTTTCTTGAGTGGAAATATCGAACCCAATACTAGTCTGTGGAATGAGGTTGTCATAATTATAAATTTTCTGTTCAAAGGGAATTGATCATCTGATGGGATCAGCTTACAAATTTAGCTTATGTCATGAATGGATTAACTCCAAATTTAAACAGTTAAAGACATGTCAACTTTAGTACTTCCTTGAGGTATTGCATTTAGAGCATTTGAAGCATTATTATGCATTTGGTTGGAAAAAGTCGTAAAACTTGAATTAGACCAATTGTTTTAAGTCCAGGGTCAAGCTGTTGATTAAACCGACCAAATTATATCTATATTTTTACTACATTCATGCTCAGTTACAGGAAAGCTAATCCACTTTAAGGGTACTTGCATCCATACTTTTACAGACTAATTTACTTCGATTGAACATTTCTAAGGTGCTATCTGATAAAATGAAATATTAAGTACTGAAAATTCTACCGTGGGAAATTTTCTAGAACTGAAAACTAAAGGACAATCTTGTAAATTTGCATCCGTGCTTTTACAGATTAATTTACTTCGATTAAACATTTTTAAGGTGCTATCTGATAAAATGAAATATTAAGTACTGAAAATTGTAGCGTGGAAAATTTTCTAGAACTGAAAACTAAAGGGCAATCTTGTAAATTTGCATTAGATTTTAAAGCCACCTTTTACTAGTCATACTCATTCTTGATGAAGGGTTAAGTATTTCTTATTCATTTTAAAACCTTTTCAAGTGGAATTTCTGCTTAAGTTATAACCAATTGCACATTATAAAATGCATCTAATAGAGAAATGACTAGAATCTTTTACTGTTAAAAACATAAGTAGTTTATTAAAAAGCTCTAGGTGAAGCTTTCGTTACTGCTAAAGAGAAGAAAGAAAAAAAATATATGTTATTAGATTTTTATTTATTTTTACTGTGTAGCACAGCTTGTCCTTATATCTATTTTTAGCTCTAAATTGCCTTATCACTGGCAACATTATTAGTTAACTATGTAGCGCATCTCTCTGTCCCTGCGTGTGTGTTTGTTTGTGTTACCATCAAAATTTGATCAAGAGTTTTTTTTTATTTTTATTTTATTTATTTATTTATTTTTTTCCTAGTTGGTACTTACACACACGTCTCTTCTGAGACTTTAACCCTGACCTCCTTTTGAGAAGTAAGAGGCCGATACCGCTAGGCCACTGGTTCGTTGGTAGAGTTAACCAGTTTTTCTCATGACCTCTCCCCCCCCCCCCCCCCCCCCCCCCCCCCCCCCCCTTCCTTGTGGGTGTGTTTGTGTGACCATCAAAATTTGGTTTAGACTTGATCAGTTTTTTTTCATGTTTTCTCATGAGATAAACAAAAAGTTAAAAGCAAATATATGATCTTTTCCATATAAATATAATACATTAATTATTAAAAAAGCTATAATCCAGTATACCCTTTTATTGACAAAATCCATCACAAAACAATGAGTTATATGCTATTTTGTTTCTTCTTATCTGTGTAACCATGGTTGTGCTCTACTTATTAGAGGGTTATAATCATATAAGATTTCTTAAACTGAAATGACAGGTTGTTTAATAGAACAAGCTGTTTTACATCGAAATAAAAGGGATGCTTCTCAATTCTTGCTCTATTTTGATTAATTTTTGCTCTCTTATAGGCATGACTCGCGGTTTTTAGTTGGAGTGAAGTAGCTTCTTGAAAAGCTGATGGTAATGTGGAAACTAATAGCTTTTATGTTTTTGTTTTTCCTTCCACTTGGTGGTGTTGTCATATGAATTAGGAATTGGGATGTTGCAGTAGGGTTGCAAAGGGTTACATATCGGATTGAGCACTAGTTATAGACACTATCCCCAGCTACTCAAGCCAAAACCACTCTGTTTAACTAAAAGTTTAAAACACCGAAGTTAGTTAGTTTGATTAAATTCCATCAACCCATACTTGACCCATATAAACTCTTCGTTCATATAAACACTCTTACCATTTTTACACTTAGTGTGAAGAATATAAATTTTTCAATCAAATATTTAGTAGTTGTCATAATAAATACTCAATGAAGCTTTATCACCGCTATTAGACAGTTACTCAAATTCTCTTCAGTTGTTGTGCTCTATCTAAGGCCGTATCATCTACTATGAATTCATAAGTTGGCACCTTTTTTCTTCCATGCTCAATTCATTTATCATTGGCCCCTCAAGTTCTGTCAGTAATGCTTCAACTTGAACATTTCTTTTTAGTAGAAGAGTAAGCATGAATTTTCAATGCGTATGACTAAACCATCTTGGCAACTTTTTTTCATTTTGTTCTCAATTGGTGGTGCTTTAACCTTTGCCTAAATGTTGGATGTGTTTTTTTCTCTCTCTCTCTCTCCTATTGAGTCCTTTCTCTTGGTTCCAGCTCCATGATAAGGAAAATGAGCCTGAATGTTGTTTTGAGCTTCATTCTTGTAGATATTATATTTTAGGGGTCTGTAGCTCCTTATTGTCAATTCAAGGCCATATTAAAAATATAGCATCATTACATGAGTTGGAAAAGCTTCTCATTTCATCATTGCATTAAGATAGCATTATTCAACACCCATAGTAGGCTTCGTAATGTTAATTTTGATAATTACATTCAGTGATAAATTTGTTTCTTCACATATTGTAATATTTTAGTTCAATTTGTTCTTATCATATTCTTCTTGGCTAATTAAGACCCCAAGTTAACATTCTCATACTCATAGGAAAAATGATGATGTGATGTGAATTCTGACTATGCCTCAAATTCAATCTAAGCGGCAATCTAATTAACTGCTGGAATGGAGTCCAAGTCCTTTTATCATTTTTTAAGATTTAAGGCATTGGAATTAATATGTTTAATTAGTTATGTTGTGACTAAGTTTTCTTTTTCGTGCTTCATCTCTTTCAGAAAATTTTTTTTAATTATATATTTGCCACAGATAAACTGCTTGTAGTAGAGGTACAGATGGATTTTTTCTTTAAGGGAATGAACGAGGAAGCAACTGAGTGCCCCTTCGAAGAAAAAGACATTCTGAGATGTCCATTCTTGAGGAACATCAACAAACCTACCAGCTTTGCTCTCTCAACTGCAAACTTCCCTGTTCCTGTAAGTTTTCTTTTGCCTTCAAGATTTGAGCAGTTATATGCTAGACTTTGTAATATTGGGTCTATATTCTGAAGCATGATACTTCAATTTGTTTTTTTGTTATCTATTTACCACGTCCTGCAATCTGCTGAAATTTTACTATGACGATAAAACGACTCCTCTCTCTCTCTCTCTCTCTCTCATATTCTCAGGTAAGGGGAGGAAAAGGTCCAATCTTTGAAGATGGCCCCAGTTTTGATTCTGCATTTAAGCTCTTTCATGGAAAGGATGGGGTAGTCCCACTCTCAGGGAGGTCTCACTTTTGTACTGAGAACTCGGAACCTGAGCCTGTGCCTCAGTTTAACCCTTTAGCCGCAAAAGCTGCTACTATCAGTTTGTCAGCATTTGGACCTGGAGGGCCATTCAGTTTTGGTCCCTTTTCCGATAAATTTAGGAAGCAGAAAAAGAAATCCGAGTCATCCAAAAAGAGAGACCCATCTTCTCAGGTATGTGTATGGGACCGAAAATACATTTCATTTCTATAAAAGGGAACTGATTCAAATTTAGTGACATTAATGTGGGTGATTTGCTAAACAAAGTTTATGGCCTTCTTTCATGTAACATGGGGTGGATACTGGATACCAGAAATGGACCAAATGGTTACACAGTAGTTGGAGACATTAAACTGCATTATGTTTGTAATATTTCAGGAAGGAGAATTGTCAAAACATGAGGCACTGGGAAATGAGTGGTTAGAAACTGGGAACTGTCCAATTGCCAAGTCATACAGAGCTGTAAGCCGTGTCCTTCCACTTGTTGCAACAGCTCTTCAGCCACCTCCTGGCATGAAGTTTAAATGCCCACCTGCAGTAGTTGCTGCCAGGGCTGCCCTTGCCCGGACTGCCCTTGTTAAGACTCTCCGCCCTCAGCCACTTCCGGCAAAGATGCTCGTTATAGGGGCCTTGGGCATAGCAGCTAACATCCCACTCGGCATATGGAAGGAACACACTAAAAAATTCTCGCCGTCATGGTTTGCTGCAATTCACGCATCAATACCATTCATAGCCATGCTTAGGAAGTCTGTTTTGATGCCCAAACATGCTATGGTAGTAACAATTGGAGCTTCCATCCTAGGACAGGTCATTGGCTCCAGAGCTGAGCGGTTTCGGCTGAAAGCCAATACTGAAAAGGTAAAGGCAGCAGCACAGGTAGCTACTCTGGATGCAGCTGCAGGGCATTCCTCGGGCCAGATTGATGGCTTTACCGGTGCTCATTGCGGCGCGGAAGGAACGATGTGGGACCCACTTCCTATCAAGGCTTCTAGGCCCACATCTTCATCAGCCAGTGTGTGTTTCTGAGCCTGTTGCCATCACTTAACAAGGTGAAATTATGGTTAATAATAAGTAGGCAAACAATATTTGAAGGCTAAAGAGGATCCTAAGAATTGGAAGTTGGCTTTTGTAATATACATTATGAACTCTGTGGCAAAAGGTGTGATTCAGCCATATCTAATGCTATTAATAAAAAATATTACTGGAAAACATCTTGTTCTTGAAATTTCATGTGTAACATGCTCTATGTATTTAAAAGGAAACTATATGTTATTTGGAACTTTGCATAGACTTGAGTTGAATTTTGATTCTTTGTTTGATGAGGCATGAAGAAAGGTATTCTTAAAGGTGGGGAGAAATTATTCCCAAATTATGAAATGTTGGATTGGATTGGATTAATCTTTGGGATATCCTGATTCCATGATATCCTAATCCTAAAATTGGGACAATCCACGAAAATAGTATTTGATTAACATTGGGACAATGCACTAAAATGGGATTTTACTTTTCTGGGATTTCTTATTCCTGTATGGGTTAAGGTGTCAAGTCCACTTCTTCCAGGAAGTGATACCAAACATTGGGACACTGCACTAAAATGTCCTTAATAACTCCACTCAGTTTACAAATTTATTCTCAAAAATAGACAATGGTTCACTTGGGATTCTATTTTTTGTGATGTCAAAATTTGAGGTGACAAGATAAAACAAATATCAATGCATCAGAACAATTGAACTTTTTCCATCAATCCAAATATCAGTGTCCTCTGTCATTAGCTTGAATTGAAAGAGTTATTTTTTCAGAGGGCTAGTCTAGATGGAAAATACTTGATGGGATAGAAAATACTTGATCTTGGTACCTTATGAAGTATTAGATATTATAATGATTTCTTTGAAGTACAAACAATTCTTTAATGGTTATGTCCGCATATTGCAGTCATAATCCTAAATTTACTTGATTCGTGTTGGGCCTTACACGAGTTCCGTAAATCAGTCCGAGTAGAGTCTCAGACACTCTAAAAAAAAAAAAAAAAAAGAGTCCAGATAATTCGAAAATTTCAAAATAAACATCACAAATTTTTTTTCATGAAAACCTTATTTGACTATCATTGAAGAAGGGTAATATTGTTAAGACAATCACTTTTAGAGGTAAAATTGACATTTGAAAATTTATTTACTGACATGAGAAGAAAAAACATGCCTTCGTTTCATATAAAAATGAATTTGCATTCTGTTTGTTCAATGGATAACATTGTTTAATCTTATATATATTTGACTAAAATTCATGAGCTTATTTGACAATTTATATTAATGTGCCCGATCCTTGATTTTTTTTTTTTAATATAATAAATTTAAATATTTTTTTGATATTCATTTTTGTAACTTATTGCAAGTGTTAGGACACTTGTGACCGCCATTTGAAGATTGATGCCCTTCTTTGAACGACATGTGTGCTTTGTTCGGTTTTAAAATATCTCCGCCCTTCATATATCAGCACCGCTTGCCCAAAAAACGCACACACCCGTGCGTACCCCTTTTCTCTGCAACAGTCCGATCACCGGGAATGTGATTCCGGTGGCCGGAAAGCCCAGTAACAAACCTCACACAATCGGTTGATTCACAAACTATTCCGGAGTCTCTCACATCATGGATTCTCCGGAGACCGAAAAGGCGTCTCACATCGTGGATTCTCCGGAGACCAAGAAGGAGGGCCTTCACTACGTGCTATTGCGTCTCTCGCTTGCGATTCTCTTCTTGCTCTTCGCTTTCGTGTTCGCATCATTTCTAGTGGTGTTCGTGACACTTTCCATCGGGAATTCATCAATTACCAATCCGATTTCGGTGCCCTCCCAGTGCAGGATAGTTTCCAGCAGTAAGTTATCTTTAATTCCTTCTTCTCAGATTTCTGGAAATCGTTTTAGGGCTGCTTGGTTGTTGAGAAATTGCAAGAAAAGAATTTAGCTTATTGAAATGCAGAAGGCCTCCAATCAACCAAGCCTAATGCTATTGGTTAAGTTAATCAGGTTCAGATTGTACAGGGAGCTTAGTAAAGTAAAAAATTATAGGTCTCAAGGTTTTTCTTGGGTTTTCCTATTCTTTCTCAGTATTCTTGGAAACCAAACACAGGGTAGTTAGTAAATTATTACCTTATTTATTTGTTTGTTTTTTAAGTAGCATGCCGGAAATTTAATTCTGTAGACCAGACTTGGTGCATTTAGGGTTGTGTTTTTGGTTCTATACCTTTTACATTGCTATAACTATTTTTATGTTCTTCTTTGATCTGAAATTTAGATGAGGAATTCAGTTTTGGTTTGTAATTATCTAGACAGGTTGACTATTATTGCTGGAAACGAGCTTGACATTACTTACTTAAAATGCATGTTTTGAAATCCCAAAACACTATCTTGTATGTGAGTAAATTGAAATGATTTATGCATGATAAGGTTGTTTAATGAACTATTTCCTCATCTATGGCATTCACAAATTTTGTTCATTATACATTGCAAGTGCCACAATTAAAAAGTTCCCAAATGATCCATTTCAATAAGTTATATTTTTGGGCGGTTGTGCCACTATAGTGAAGCAGCTAGTTTAGCTAAAGCCTGTGCATATTTAATTTTTTTTAACTTTTATACTTCCGTTTAATTTACAAATACTACTTAAACTAGTGATGATCACATGGCTTGAACTTGGAACGTGTTGTCATGGCAGTCCTAGTAAATGGGTAATAATTTGCATATTTGCTATAGGTTTGGGGAAAATCTCCAGGGAACTGTATTATGGTCAAAAACTAGGAATGGCAATAAAGTGGCTGTAGGAGGGGGCTGGCAATTGGAACCATGTGGCGTGCCCAATGCGGTTTAGCTATGCATGTCATAAATTTGATCATGAGATAAATTCTTAACCTCTTTCCAGCCCTTTGCAGCTCCAAAGATTTCTTACATAATCAACTGATTTGGTTTGGTAGCAGGGACAGATCCACATTGAAGGCAGTGGGGGCAATTGCCCCCACTGAATTTTTTTTTTTTTAGTATTCTACCCTTATAATTTTTCATTTTCAGTAATAGACTCATAAAATAATACATTTGCCCACCTAAAATTATTTAAAAAATGCACTATTGCCCCCCAAATTCATTTTTGTCACCCTTACCTTACATCCTGGCTCCGTCCCTGTTTGGTAGCCTCAGAAAGAACACCCATTAAAGGGGAAAAAATCCAAGTTTGACAAGATTGCTGGATCTGGATTTGCTTTGCAGTGAAAGAGAAATAGTGAAAAATACAAAATTTCCCTTGAGAGTTGATAATGAAGATCAGGGTAGCAATAAAGTTTGAAGGTTGTGACAGTGACTGTCAGACAGTAATGGTGCCGGTGAGTTGATAAAGATTGAGTGAGCGACTATGAGGGTAGAGAGATACATACATGTCATGTGTGCACGATATAAAGAAACCGTAATTGCCTATTAAAGGGTATTTGAGGTTAACATTAAAAGGTAGGAATTAATCGGTAGTAAACTTAGCTTATGATCGACCAGGATAGCTGAGGTTGGAGCGATCCTACTCATACCCATTCCAGGTAATGTTAGATGGACTTAGATGATTGTGCCAGGTATAGATATTTGGTTAAGCGTTCACTTGTCAAATCACCAAGTCAAAGGGCACATGGACACAAAGACAATGAAGTATTCATATCATTTAATATTATTTGTTACTTCATAGATTATATCAGTCTTTTTATGTGATATAGAGCGTTTAATATGGGTTAGTGCACCATATTCTCGTCCGTTATGTTCTCTGTGCTTGTGAACGGATCTCGTGCTGGTTTTTTTGTGAGCTCGCACGGTTTGAGACAAGGAGACCCCTTATCATCTTTCTTATTCCTTATTGTCATGGAAGGATTGAGCAGATTAATGAGAAGAGCGGAGGATTTGGGTTATATCAAGGGTTCAGAGTCGGTAGAGATGTTGCTCATCAGATGGAGATCTGCCATTTGTTGTTTGCGGATGATACCTTGGTTTTTTGTGATGCTGATGTCTTCCAACTGAGATATATGAGGTGCATTCTTGCTTGTTTCCAAGTGGTGTCCGGGCTTAAGATCAATGTTGGAAAGAGTGTGCTTATCCTAGTGGGGGATGTTCCAGATATTTCCTCCAATTCTTGGGTGTGGAGTGGGTGTTTTTCCTCTTCCTTATTTGGGATTGCCTTTGGGAGTTTCCTCTAGGAGAGTGGGGAGCTGGGAGCCGGTGATTAATAGGTATGAGAAGAGATTCGCAGGATGGAAAAAACAATATCTTTCAAAGGAAGAGGGGGGGGGGGGGGGTGCGCGTCACTCTTATTAAGAGTACTCTCTCGTCCCTTCTCACCTATTCTTTATCTTTGTTTCAAATCCCATGCCCTGTTGCTGAACGGATTCAAAAAATTCAGAGAGACTTTCTTTGGGGTGGAAGAGGAGAGGAGTTCAAGTAACATCTTGCTAATTGGGAGCAAGTCTGCAAACCTTTGAAATTAGGCGGGTTAGGCATTCGTAAGTTGGTCCCTTTTAATAAAGCTTTGTTGGGAAAGTGATTATGGACACTCAGTAAGGAGCGTCATCGTCAGTGGAGAAGAGTTGTCTTGTGTCGTTTTGGGGAGGAGAGTGGGGGCTAGTCCTCCTGTCCTGTTTCTGTTACGGGGGGCGTTGGCGCGTAGAAATTCATTCGGAAGGGTTGGGATGTGTTTTCCTCCCACATTAGATTCAAGGTTCGGGATGGTAGGCATGTTGGATTTTGGAAAGACTTATGGTGTGGAGATCAGTTATCGTTTCATTCCTTTCCTCGCCTTTACAGTATTGCCGAGAATAAGCACGCTTACGTAGTTGACTGTTATCAACTTGATAGTAGCGGGGTTACGTGGGATGTGCGTTTTAGGCGTTCTTTTTACGATTGGGAGATGGAAGAAGCATGCATTTTTTTGGATCTGTTGTATAGACAGAAGGATGTTAGCAAAGGTTGTGACGATACTTTGTGGGTCCCTTCCACCCATGGTAGTTATGGTGTCCGATCCATGTTCTTGTGTTTGTCCAATTTTGTTGGTCAAGATTTCCCATGGAAGTCTGTATAGAGCTCTAAAGCTCCTCTTAGAGTCGCATTATTTGTTTGGACTGCCACATTGGGAAAGGTTTTGACGTTGGACAATTTGAGAAAGAGAGGCAACACCATTGTTAACTGGTGTTGTCTATGTAAATCAGACGGTGAGTCGGTGGATCACATTCTTATGCATTGTCGTGTGGCGTACGATTATTGGAATCTCATTTTCAATATTTTTGGCATTCGTTGGGTAATGCCTAAGCACTCCATACAATTGATTAACGCATGAAGAAGATGCCTAGTCAAAGGTCATGCCCGTGATTTTTGGAGGATTGTTCCACGCTGTATTTAGTGGTGTATATGGAGAGAGAGAAATAACAGAAATTTTGAAGGAAATGAATCGTCTCTAGCAAATTTAAAAATTCATATTCTTTGTTCTCTTTTCTGTTATGTAAGAGGAAGTGCTTGCTCCTCGATTGATGATTTATTTGATCTATTGGACTCTATTGGTCCTTAGGTCTTTTTTGCGTTTTGTGTATTAGGGACGCATTCCCCTTTTGAATGATTTTCTAATGTATTTTACTTATAATAAAAAAAAAAGAATAAAAAAAAAGGAAACATTTGCAACACAGCATACATGTATAAAATTGCAAAGAACTTATTCACGTTATCTAGACTACAAGTTCCATCTTTACAGAATTGAGAAGGCATCATTAACAAAATTACGTTACTATAGGTTTGAACAAGCTTTACAATTATAATAGTGTCTAAAATATCAAGAATGTGCTCATAAGAACAATGGTAGGTGTTAATATTAATACCTATGATTCCCTGTAATTTTATTTTTTCTCTCTTTGGGTCGGGGTGACAAGAGGACTTGAGCTTTTGAAGTTTAGAATAAAAGTCCTACTGCATGCCACTTGAACCACAAGGTCAGTGGCTCTTGTAGTGCCTGAATATATAAGGATTGGAAACCCCAAATTGATCTACACATTGTGTATTATGTGATCTTTTTTGGGTATATTGCTTTGCTATTTATTGCTAAGATAAATCATGCACTAGACAAGTAGAATGTAATAACTCAATTTCTATTAAATCCAAATCATGGGCAGGTGACCATGGGATAGAGGAGAGAAGAGGCTTGCACTGAAGAAAACTAAATTTCCCTTTTCTGAATTTCTATGTAAGAGTTGGGAACTGTGACATGAAAAACTCATTTTTAATGCAAATTGTAATAGCATTAAGTCACAGATTTTCCAGAATTAATTGAGCAAGATCTTATTCCCGAGTACAATAGCAATTTCTTGAATTTATAGCAATTTCTTGAATTTGGACAGACATTAACTAGGAGACTTACTGCTTGATTGCAATTCTTGAAAATTATGACGAACTTGCGAGAGCAAAATATTTTTTAAATATGGCTATTCTTTATAAGTCAACTTTCATTGAAATTAATTTATCATCTATCAACTTAGTTATATGATTTCTAGAATATTCTGAAACAACTTATAGTTTGAAAGTTAATCATCAATGAGAGCAAGGTTGTCAGGATATTCTATGTTAGGATTGACGAGGGGTCCATAGTATCAGGATCATAGGATCGGATCGAGGATTGTAAGATTCTTTAAAACTACTAAAGAAAAATAACTCAAACTAACTTTTAAAATCAAATATCATCAATATAAGTATAGAACTAGGCTAAACAACCAACATGACCATCATTCTAGCAAAATCAATTGATATTAAAAGTACTAAGACACACGCGAACACTTAAAATCAATTTCTTGATTTCCTTTATACAAAAGCATAAGCATAACAGAATCTCACAAAAGAGATTAAAGTCAAGTCTAAGCAAATAGAAAAAGGAAATAAATAAATAGAGTTGTCTAATTGTCTGAGCAATTTAGTTGAAAAGATTACTTTTTGGTTCAGAAAAAGAACAAAACATAGATAGAAAGAATGGCGGGGAAAAAATGAAGTCTCTTTGTTTTTCTTTTTCAAAATGGACCAAGAATTGGTGGGTAAATGGAGTTCTTTCTGATTGTTTTTTCCCTTGAAAAAGAACGAAGAAAAGAGAAATTAGGAAGAATGAAGCAAAATAAAATACTTTTTTTTCTTGGCGTTTTTAGCCATACCTTGGAAATTCAGAATTATATAGTCTATACCTTTGACGTTGGGTCTTTGATTTTTGTTTTTATTTCTAATTTATAATGCAACTAGGCTAAAGAGTTGGGATTTATATTTAAAATTATTTAATGTATTTTCCCATAATGGGTTGTATGCCTAAATAAATCCAAAAGAAGAACAAACAACATGGTTTCGTAGGATTGGTAGGGCTGTGCGATTCTACGATCCTGCTTCCGTTCCTACTGCGATTCTAGTTCCCAGCTATTTTTCATGTGATCGGAATAGAATCGTAAGGTGCATATTCATATTGCTATATCCGTATCTAATATTCGTAATATGTATCCAAAATTAAAATAAATGTCATATGTGATTAAGGCAAGATGATTATGACATCATAGAAGTTTTTTTTTTGATAAGTAAGAATTATATAAAAAAGCGCTCAAAGGGGAGCGAAACCCAAGGAAACAAGATGAAAAAACCAAAAAGAGCCTCAAGCTTTCAAATATGACATCATAGAAGTAAATGAGAGTATCATACTTTTGGAATTCTTTTGGTCAGAATTTTGACGCCTTTTAGGGCAAACCTAGTGCACCAGGCTCCCGCCATTGCGGGGTCCGGGAAGAGTCAGATGTACGCAGCCTCACGCACGGACCTAGTGTAGGCTCAATGGGGGCGATTGCCCCAACTGAAATTTTTTCCTTTTTGTATTATATGCCTACTATATATATATATTTTAATTATATACCTATAAAATGGGAAATTTGCCCCCACTGAAATTATAGAAAAATTGCGCTATTGCCCCCACAACATTTTTTGTTAAAAGCCACCCCCTCTCACATACTTTGCTGGGTCTGTCCCTGCACATCCTTACCTCCGCATAAGGAGAGACTGTTTCCTTATTTCGAACTAGTGACCCAGACTTCCAAGTCACAATGCTCACAATTTTTTTTTTTTTTTTTTGACAAGAAGTAAGAACAATGCTCACATTTTTTACATGTGAAAAACAATTAGATGTGGCTTTTCAGGTCAATATTTAATTTATAATTCTGTGATAAAAACCAAGTAAAGAAGAATGGAATATAAAGAGGGTAAATTGTGATATAATCTTGAATCAATGTTTGGTAGGTCTTGTGCTTTGACATTTAAGGTGTGCATTTTGATTTTAAATAAATAAATCAATGCTAAGTAGAGGGAGGTGAAGTAATCATTGTGATAAGACATATTTGGGTGCTGTTATCTGGATCGATATTAGGAGTTGGCACTTGTGAAGTTGTTTCCGGTCATCTACTAGTTTATAAGAAAATATTTCAATGTAATTCTAGTGAAATGGAAAAAGAAGAATTTAATTAATGGCAATTGGGGAAGTTGGTGAATAAAAGGGAATTATGAATGCAAGTCATTGTTTGTTAAGATGATAAGTTGGCAAGCATGGCAAAGACACAGAAGTCCCCTTTTTCTTTCACGAGACTCGAGCCACTTAATCATGAAATTTTGATGCTTTCTTTTTTAATGAAATTACTTATCAAAAAGAGTGTAGTAAATAATTTTGAAGACTAGGCCTGCCTATACTCCTTTTTTTAAAAAAATAAAAATAAAAATAACTAAAGTATCATTAAGAACCCTCAAAAGATGGGGAGAGAACCCCAAGAGCCACTACACAATGACCAAACAAGGCCATTAATCTCTCAACATATCCACAAAATCCACAATCTCCACCATAGATTACATTATCTCCCATAAACCCAAAAAATGCGTAAGTTGGAACTACCTTTCTTGAGAGTCCTGAGAAAATGCATCCCATGGCTCCCGAATACCATCACCTTCCTCGTTGGCAAAGTGGATCTGTTGAATTAAGGAACAAATAAGAGAGAACTTAAACTCTACGCAGGATTTTCCTCTCCATCGAAGGATCTCTAATTCCTTTGCTTCCACAAGCCCCACCATAAGCACAGGGGCATCACCCTCCGCCACTATACAACCTCTCCAAGCCCCAAGCATGAAAAAGGCCATTACTCAGTGTTGGGTTGTTTGTTAAAGGTGATAGGAGCATTGGAACTTTCAGCTTACTCATTTGAATAGCTGTTCTCATAGTTGTCTCTATGATTTCACACTTCACAGCCCCAATTTTTACTACTGCATCAAATAATGTTCTCTATAAATATCAAAAGATTTCTTACTTCAACTGTGTACAACTTCTTTTAATGTTTTTGCTTTGTGGGCAACATTGGCATTGTTGCAGCAGCAAAATGCTTATTTCAACCAATCACATAAAACAAACCTATGTGTTAACTGTTAAATCCACATTTTTTATGGAATCCAAAGGAATTAACCAAGAAGATCTTTCAAATCAAAGAGATCATTATCTGATTTCAGCCAGTGATGTGCCACTGATGGAATTAATGAAGTTACTTAGAAAGGATAAAAACTCAATGAACCATTGCACAATTGCATTAAACCACAGGAATCATCCGTACTTTTCCTTATTTCTAGTGAAGTAGAAACATCTTCTGTACTTGTCAAAAAAAAAGAAACATCTTCTGTTGGCATCTTTAATTCTCCTATGAAAACATCACTAGCATAACGTCAACTAGCTGCCTCTCTAAACTATTGCATTCTTTGTTACTCACTCAGTAAACTTGCAATGGCCTTTTCCATCTCAATCATATGATAAATTCCCTCACAGTTCGAGATTAACAGTTTCAATTAGAATGAGCTATTCTAAGTTATGGTCTTTAGATTTTTGTTCTTTTGATGGGATTGATTTTCGCTACAACGATACTTTGTGCTTGTGAGCCCTCCTTCACTTTTCTTGTTGAATAATGGTACTAATGCTTCATTATAGCATCTATATGCTATAATGCTTGCTACTATTAGAAATTAATCTTGTGCTAATTATTTCATATCACTCCAGAATTCTTAGCTTTAGAGAACCTTAATCTGTTATACTAGTTGTTAAGTTTAAGAACAACTGGAATGAATTAAATTCGGGTAAGTTAAACACACTTATGGTGGTTTCATTTACTTATTTACTGTGCATGTATTTGTTTCCTTGGTCTTTTTGGAACATAACTTAATTGGTTAGATTTGTTCATAGCCTTATTATAAAATTTCAAGCACAATGTAACTTATTTTAGTTTTTTGCAGGTGTGGATCTTAGGTCATCAAAGGTCTGTGAACTTGGCCTGTTGAATTATAAAGCGAAGCATGTGTTTTATCCTTTTGAAAGAAAAAAATTCCGATGTCGTCATGATTACTATTGGGCTTCTGTATTCAAGGTGATCATTACTAATTCTTAAACCACTTCATGATTCTGTAATCTATATCATATTGCTTTTTCTTTCAGAAGTCTTGTATTAAGAATGCGTAAACAATTTTTGGCACAAATATTTAATATATACAATGTTACTATTTGATTGAATAGTTCCCTTTTTGCCTTATAATTAGAATCTATAGGAATTCCCTAGCACATTTTCCCTAAAAGCCAGCATTTATAGCTAAATTGGCATCTTTCGAATAGTTTCGAGAAGCTCTATTGGCACATTAATGTGCAGTGCGAGTGAGAATCAGTAGAAAGTTGACTTATTGTAAAGTACTTTAAAGCCTAGAGTATTTTCATCTAAACTAACTTTATTATTAAAACTATATGGAAGATACACCTTTTTAGATTTTATTTAGTTTTTCCAAATAGAATTTTTTCTAGGTTGATGTTTAAAGGTATTTTGACGATTATTTTGCTAGATTGATGTTAAAGGTCTTCTTTGAAACTGAACTGTGAAAATAAGAGACTTTATTAGAACACGTTTCTCTTTTGTCCTCACTCCGTTTTAACTTATTGTTAAGTACTCTAAAGCTTAGAGTATTATCATCTAAACTAACTTTTATTATTAAAACTATATGGAAGATACACCTTTTTAGATTTTATTTAGTTTTTCCAAATAGAATTTTCTCTAGGTTGATGTTTAAGGTATTTTGACGATTATTTTGCTAGATTGATGTTAAAGGTCTTCTTTGAAACTGAACTGTTTTATTAGAACATGTTTCCCTTTTCTCCTCACTCCGTTCACCCTTCTTCTCTTTTTTCTCTCCATTTCATCATCCAGTTCACGTTGAGTGATTTTATGCAGTAGCACTATGATTCAATCCATATATTCATTTTTTCTATTTTTTTTTTTTTTTGGTGTATAATTTAAATTATACTGTTATTTTTTATTCAAAAAATCTGCAAGGCAGCTTTCATCTGCAAATTTCAATTCATAGGCAATAAAAATTTCCTGACTGATTAAAGGAGGCCCTCTCATCTATGATGTCATTTGGTGATCTCAGTAGATGTAGTGCATTGATGAATAATCACTGAAATGCGTTGAATGAATAATCACTGAGACACTGTAAGTATAAAATCAACTCTCTTTGCCAGAATACTTGTTCTGTTTGTGTTGATTTTCAGTTCAATGCTTGGCTGGCAAGTCTTTGAAACCTTTATTAATTATTATTTTTACTGTTATTATTTCTATTGAAGCCTTCGTTCCTCCATCTGACTTGCTGTGAAGTACTGGTAATTCAGCTTCATTGAAATCTGTTTAAGTGGGTCTATGTATATGTCAAAATTGTCAAGTTTGGATTCCATGTATATTTTGTTTAGCTCTAATTACTGATTGGGGTGGCCTGAGTTTAATAATTTCAGCTCTTTCATATGGGATTAGCTGCAATAATGCTCTTGTGATGTTTTCGTTGCTATCACTTGTGTCACCAGTACTCGTAGAAAGTTCTCTTCTTTGATTGTTGTTCTGGTTTGGATTTGGTTCTTTTGATAATTTTCAAGTAGTTTTCAACATTTTTTAAAAAATGCAATTCATGCTCTGTTGGTCTGTGTTGTTCTCTGATGGAGTTTTTTTTTTTTTTTGGCTTGCGGCTTGTTGCATGTGTCGATCTTTTTTTTTTTTTTTTTTGGTCTCTTAGCCTGTTATTGCTTCTTGTGGTCATCTGGCCCTTGGTGGACTTATGTTCAGTCTTACACCAGGCTGTAATTTGTTCTCTTGAATGAGCGAGAAGCAGTCATAGCAAACATATGAATTGTTTTTAAGCTTAGATGTCTGAGTTTGTTGGTGGTGCTGAGAATTAAATTTTATGGGCTAGATTCTAGCCTTTTCAAGCTGGTGTGTTTTTCCGTTTGGGTTGCTTTAAGAAGCTCCATGAGTTGAAGGCATTCTTTGAATTTTCATTTGACAAACAGTTACCTCGTAGAACTCGGAAACTGTGATATGTGCTCTTAGTATGAGAAGGCTAATGCTATGAAGGACTATCGTTAGGACAAACATGGTAAAGATGATTGGGAATCATCCTAATTTTACTTTTCTTTGGCCAAGGCCTGGGAATAATCAACATTACCGAACAAGCAAACTGTATCATATATGATACCACAAACATTGTTACTCGTCCTTCTAATACATAGATGATTTAGTTGTTACATGATATATATTGTGATTTTTTTTTTTTTTTTTCAATGTGGTGGTGAATAGTTGACCAGACTCAGATTCGAGGTGACACCTTGAATTGAATTTGGGTGGAGTTTTGGTTGAAAGTATGGTTAAAATAGTGAGAAAGCGGCAATATCTAAAATTTGGGCAGAAAGGGAGCGCCTCTAGGGCGCTTGTAACCATAAGGGGCAATATCTAAAACTTGGTCAGAGCTGGAGTGTCTCTAGAGCGCTTATACTTGTGTGCTATTATGTATATAGATATAACATGTGCATGTAAAACACCTTCAATATTTGTACATATGCTGAAGGCTATTTCTTGGTGTAATAATAATAATTTAATCTTACTAGCATGAGGAAATGTGTTCGAGTTACACTTACGAGGAAAGCAATATCTCTTCTATGTTAGGAGATGCATAATATTTGTAATAATTAAAAAAACAAAAAGTAATACTATATTTAAAATTTTTAAAGAAATATAAGTCAAGAAATCTGTACATTTATTTTAAATTCTTAAAGAGAGATTGTTTAAATTTTTATACATGAAATGATTACTTAAAGAATTCCAAAATAGTAATTATCTTAAGTTAAAGTAAATCTAACAAGTGTTTATATTGTTTATCAAGTAAACAACACTACCAAAAAATGATCAATATGAAGCGGATGACACTATGGTAAGGATTTGTGCGCCTTTCTAGCAGTGCAGGTCTGTTAAAGGCAAAACCAACAGAAACCCTATTGATCCTGATGTAAAATTTGAATAGGCATAGGACAATTTGTTTATGCTCCTAATAGATGGTGAGCTTATATATTATATATTATATGCAACTCTTGTCAAGATATTGTACTTATTGGGGTGGTTCATCAGTTTATGCAGATGTTGATCCAATGATACTAATAAGTTGAGACTGTTGAGTGTTGTATCTTGAGGCATGAGAAAAAACTTAAATGCTCTAGGATGACATGGTATCACACACTAATTAGACAAGAACACATAGTAATAGGACCCACTAAAAAAGATACATTTTTACTTATGTATCCGTGTTTAATTAGTGCATAATACCTTGTCATCATTGCACCTGGAGCATTTACGTTTTTCTCCTTGAGGCACCTTAAAGGAGTATTGACAAAAAGTCGTAACAATTAAGACTTCTAGTGCATAATACCTTGTCATCACTGCACCTGGAGCATTTACGTTTTTCTCCTTGAGGCACCTTAAAGGAGTATTAACAAAAAGTTGTAACAATTAAGACTTCTAGTTCTTTGGATGTCATGGGCTATTCTGATGCAGACTAATTGGTAAAAGGTGTGGATATTGCACAGTTTTCTTTGTTAATTGAGTACAAAGCAGAATTTAGTGGCAGGATTAAGTAAAAACCAATTATAATGGATCTATGGCGTGTACGGCATGTGTGATGACCTCATTTAGATCTCTTTTTGCGCAGATCGATTGACTCACCTATTAAAATGTTTTATGATAACCAGTTTGGCAGCTTCTAATCCAATATTCCATTAGGAGAACTAAACAAATAGAGGTTGACTGCCAATTTATAGAAAGAACATTATTACAGTATATAATAATGTGAACAGTTAGGTGATGTGTCCTTAAACTTTAGGGATCACATTTTTTCTGATCTATGTAACAAGCTAAGCATGATAGATGTCTGTTTCCAGCTTGAGGCGAAGTATTAGAAGTGTTATATATTAGTGGTAAACCTATAATTTCAGCTTTTAGAAATACGAGTAGAGGAGCCAACCGTTCTATGGATGAAGTTCTCCGTCATATTTCTCTCTCTTCTACTTCTTATCTTCTTTGACTTTTATCAACTCCATGAACGGTTTTTAAAAATTATTTTAGTTTAACTTGTTTCTTGTTTATAAAATGTCAGGTTGAATATGAAGATCATTCAGGTCAGACACAACTTGCATTCGCAGAGGCTCCAAATGAGGCCCTTCCCATTGATTGCAGGCCTAATTTTGGTGTGGCATGGTTGACGAAAGATAGATTCAAGGTTTGTGTTGCAAAATATGTAGTCTCACAAGATGCTGTACAATCTTGAACTACCATGCTTATTTAATCTTTGAAATTTACATTTATATTTAAAATAAATATTATTCTAGTATTTTTAACAAGCTTATTGTTAAATTATTTCATAATTAAAATTATCTTGGATGTGTTCTTTGAGAAAGTTTTGACAGTGGTTTTGATATTCTTGTACTTGTTGCCTGTTTTCCTTAGGTGAACGAAACCTATGACTGCTGGTATACGTTTGGCATTTCCAAAGTGAACATATATCATGACAGATTTTTTAATTGCCAAGCCAATGATCCATCTACAGTTGAGATGTTGAGACGCTATTCTGTCCTGTGAGTAGATTACAGATTTAAAAAATGCTCCTTACCATTTATTCTTTGACTTATACTATACATGGAAATTTATTAATTAGACATATTTTCATATCAAGGAATTCTACTCCCCCACCCCCATGCAATGGCCTCATATTGATAAAGCACGGAGGCCAGAATGATGCTGATTGGTCTATTATCACTGTTTAGTCTGTTCCACTTAAAAATTAATACGAGGAAAACTGTGTCAGGTTGCAAGTGACCGGGTTTGGTTCTGCTTCATACTGCTTTATCTTACTTTGCCTGCATGTGAGTAGCTGAGTTGATGTGAGCCTCGACAATTTTTCAGAGGTCTTAGGTTCAACTCCTCCTACCCCACAACTAACCAGCTCCCTTGCATAGGGTTCGACTGGTGGTGGGCAGAAAGGGATGGGCTGTCTCACCTCTAAAGGGGGTGGGGATACCTCATGATATCCAAAAGGGAGAGAACAACCTTTACTACGTAGAGATAATTCTTACTTGGTTTTACTTTATGCTACCATTTTACTTCCAATACCTTGAGATGAATGTTTCCTGATAGTGTGTTTGTATATTGTGAATTAATCATCGTAGGAAATGTTTTGTTTTGACAAAGTCAATTAGTTATTGACTTTTGATATCAGTGTTCCTTTTAATACAACTGGTGGTGAAACGTATACATACAGATTATGACTCATATATCATCTTGAGCTAGTTGCAGCCCATAAATTGCATCAGTCCGAAAATAGTAACTACTGAATACATCACAATCTTGAATCTTCTAGGCAGTTGCATGGTCCAAGGTTTTTTATTTATTTTTACCTTGGCAAGAAACACAGACACACTTTTTGCCCACACCCGGGCTCGAACCCCTCCCCTCCTCTTTGAGGACTGGGAGGTTATACCATTGGGCTAGATGCCTTTTGGCTGGTCTAAGTATTTGAATGTGTTGGGTTTTTAAAGTGCGTAGTTATTTTTTTATTTTTCTTTTAGGTCTCAGTAGAAGGAAAGGGTCAAATCAATGTTGACAATATTATTAACTCATCAAAATGTATTTTCATAAATTACATGTGGTCAATCTTGAGTCTTAACATATTTTTGCATTCTAAAAATTATTTCATCTCCTCCTCCAATTTTACTCGAATACCTTTTGAGTTATGATTATTGGGGAGAAGTGAAAGATTGATTACATGTTTAGGTTACGCATTTAAATGTCTAAGTTAAACATCAAACTGTGGTTTTTGTCTTTGGATTCAAAGGGTAAAACTTAAATTTATCTTATTTGTTCTGGTATACCAAATAGAGTTGTTAATTCTATAATACATCTTGTAAGATGCACGCCTTATTCTGAGAAGATAACATCTGCTTCCAAAGTATAACCTTAACCTCTTAGAGGACATTGTGAGCTTTGATAAAGATGTGACTATAAATACAAATCATATATTGAGCGATGAAGGTGGAGCCGCTCTTTCTAACCTAGGGCAATATCAAAGGCTGTTTGGTGGTTGATGTACCAATTGCTCGTTCGATTCTTCACCTTAAATTAAGCAAGTTCTTTGTTAACTGATATTTTTATGGCTCCTGGAGATGGGATCTTATTCTAAAACTTGACCATATTGGAGAAAGTGTATGCTGATGCTGAATGTGGTTGTTCCATGGTAGACCCGAGATCTATATCTAATTTCTCCATTTAATTTGAAGAGATATATCAATGTAGAATGACAAGCAGTCATCAGTTGCACCAAGCACTAGGGCAGAGGTCTAATTTTGAGTCATGATATGGTATCTGAAACTTTTGTGGCTACACATTCCACTGAAGCCTCAAGGAACTGCATGAAAATGTTTGATTGTTTCTTGACACGTATTCTGACAGTAAGGCTATTGTCCGTCAGGACCACAATCCTATTCAGTAGGACACGGCCAAACATCGACAGACATTCAAGGAAAACTTTAAACATGAAAATTTAGCGTCCTATTATAAAAGTTGGACCTTTTCTAGCATTATTCTAATTAAAGGGACTTTTTTTTTTGGGTTTAAATTTCATATTTGTGGCATGTTTAGGGGGTGATGGGTAGATGTATCTTCTTCTTTTCATATTTTTCCTAGCATTTTAGGTTGTGATAGGTAGATAAACTTTGGCACCGACTTATGAACAATTTATCAGTATTATTAAATTCAGAAACTTTATCAGCATGGTTGTTGCTTAAAGATCTGGGCTCTTTTATCTGGTGGGAGATTATTTTAACTAGCCTGCAATAATATTCCCTGTGGCATGGTGATATTTGTATACTTTCAGAATGGAGCATAAATTAATACGGAATATGATGATATTGTATTCTTTCAAAGGGAAGCATAAACTAATTGAATTGCTATTGTGGATTATTGATGTAATTGATGATTTTGTCCAAAATAATTTAGCCGAAAAATGCTTCTTTATTTGAAAATTAAATAGAATGATACCTAGAGTAGATTGTGTTCAGGGCATTATTGATTTAGTGCATCATTTATTTTGATGGAAATAATTGAGAAAAGCATGAATGTGCATTTGCGTCTCTGCATGGCTCTATGTTTTTGCTTTTGTGCATGTCCTACTCTTTTTGGTTATTTAAATAATTACTCTATGCTTTTTTTTTATAGGTCCACAAGGATGTTAAAGTCGTGGTTTTCCAGCATTAGAAAAGCCAAGTACTGGAAGTGGGAAGTAATAGCTGGAGTTGTCACTGGTTTTTCGACTTCTTTGATCTCCATAAGCTTGATTAGACTTCTACAGCAATTGAAATCATGTTTGCCTCGAATCTACGCTGCCCGCTTAAAGCGGACATGTTTCTTTGTAGCATACTTCTCTTTTGCAGGTTGGCTGGCCATCCAGTATGGGAAAAGGCTCGGCCTCCTGGAGATCTTCGGAGTATAGTAACAGAAAGTGGCACTCATTTTTGTAGATGTGCTAGTTGCCTTTGGGAATTTCACAAATAAATGTATCATCCTTGTGCATAGAGGAAGAGTTTGTGAGTAGACAGGTCCATGTACTTTATCATGCATAGAATCTGGTCAACAGATAGTAGTGGTACAGGTAACTGGTGGAATGAAAATGTTGTGATTTTGCAAAATACATGTGAAAGCAAGTGCAAAGGTTTGTAATGTTATATATACAAGGCTCGCTTGGAATACACTTCAAGCACCTTTGCAGGTGTATACAAACAACACAATGTTTTGTAATAATATCAAGAAGTTTTCATTTGTTACATCTGTGAAAACAATCAATCAAATAAGGTTTATATATATGTATGCCAATGGAGAAATTATTACTTATTTTTGGCTAATCACAAGCTTACGTGCAAGTAAATGTGTGAGCTTTATTCCGGTTATTCATGAATACATGTATTCATGAATTAAACGGCGAATGAAGTTAAGGATGGATCAAAGGCTTTTGGCTTTGGGGGGAAATTTTCATTTTTGTTGTTCTAGTTTGGTGTGCTCTCGCGTAGGAAGAATCATATACAATCTCTAAGAAGAATCATGTACCATCTCTATTTCAAAATAAATGTTTTTTTTTTGGGAAACTATGACTCACAGTATCTAACAAGAAACAAGATTTAAGAGAGCAAGGCTAGCGTGCTTATGATGAGCTTGCACCTTCACCGCATGGTTTACTGGAACCAAGTTCCAACCCAAAGGTGTCCTCGCTATAGTATTTTCCTTTAAAATATGTTTTAGCAAATAAATAATTGTTTGCTATGTTAGTTGCATGAGATTAGTGTACTTGAATCGAAATTGGAGAAAATATAAACAGCTTTTTGAAAGAGAGGGATTACCAAAAAGTAAGAAAAAACAGCTTTTAGAAACTTTACTTATTACCTATCTACAGAGTATGTGATATATAATGTGGCGTGGGGCCAACTGACGTGACTATCCATGACCTTTGGATGCTAGCCCCCACTCTCCCTATTTTTCTCATATTCTCTACTTAGAGCATTCGGTGTGCATTTGCAAGATTATCTTGCTATTCACTTTTTTTACCAACTATGTTTCGTGGTGTGCAACTCACTATTTTGCTATTCACTTTATTATTTTTTAATTAATTTATTTAAAAAATTTAAAAGATGATCCATGGAATGTTGAAAGATAATAATTGAGTGAGAAAAAAACTAAAAGAAATATTGAGAAAGATAATTGTTGAAGGATGAGAATTGTTGGTAGAATTTTCTTTTATAATAGCCAAATTTTGAAATTTCTGTAAAGTACAGATTTTGGAAGAAATCTTGAAGTTTTCTTATACGTTTTGTAGTTAAGGGCATGCTTGTTCGGGCAATCCCCATGCTAGTGACCTGTTATAACAAATTAAATGAATATGACAACAATTAAAGCGTTAAGATCAATTTTGAATGGGAAATTTAATTTTTAAAAATTTAATATTTGAAAGAAATGTGTAAACAATAGTTTAGGAAGTTCGTAATATTTTCAAATTAAACCAAGGAAATGAAAATGATATACAATTACATACCCACCACACCAATTCTATCTCTACTCATGAAAGCCTCAAAATCCAATTACTAGATTGGCAAATGGCATATGTTATAGACTTAAATAAGAGCCTTTGAAAGACCATAGGTCTTTTAAGTATACCACATGCAGTTCCTTGTTACATAGGGAAAACAATCACTTTGCGCGCAGAATTTTTTTATTTTATTTTTGTTTATACTTTGATAAGAAATACACTCACACCCCTTACACCCTATGTAAGGACTTGAACCTTCAACCCACTTTGAAAGACGAGCAAATACTACTTGACTACAGCCTTTGATATTGCATACAAAGTTTAAAAACCAATACCAAAGTCATATCAGCATGCATTTGCTTCATCTGGCATGTAATGTGAGACGCTCATTTTACCCAAGAAAGTATACATAACATATGGTGTTGTTTGCAGTTCATCATACCAACTTCACAAAAATTTGTATAATACTTGGCTATGATCAATACATCTACATAAAAAATTGTAGGTATACAGTTTACACATGCACAAATATCACCGTCTTAAATGATATTGCACATAGGTACAGTGACTTCACAGCAAGTAGAGTGTTGAACATCGGTGTTTTTTCTTCTTTCGAACCAACCATAACAGGAAAGATTGACTCTACGGTCTTTCAATTGAGCACAAATCTTTTACCTGATTACTTTGAAGTTGAAACTCTGCAAGTGTTCTTTGTATTAAACCATCTGGCATGATGCCGTCTCCTAACATACGGTCATACAGCATCATGGCATCGGCTAATCGTCCAACCTTGCAATAACCACGAATCAAAATCCCATATGCTATTACATCAGGCAGTAGTTGGCTGTCCAACGCACAACGAAAGGCAAGCGACGCTTCCTCCACTAGTCCCCTTTTGCAAAGGCCATCAATAAGGATGCTGTAACTCACAACATTTGGAGAAATATTGTTCCTGAGCATCGCTTCATGAAGATCAAATGCATTTTTCATATTATAGGACTTAAAGTAGCCATCAATTAGACAACTATAAGTGAACACATTTGGTTCCGGGCCTTTTTCCAGCATTGTGGAAAATATTGACATTGCATCATCCATCCTACCTTCCTTACTGAAAGCATCAATCAGAATAGTAAAAGTCATGGCATTTGGTTTTGTTAGTCCACATTTCAGTGTTTCAAAAAGTTGAACTGCCTCACTCAACATTTTCAAAGAACAGTAGCCGCAGATCATTGTATTGTAAGTCACAATATCAGGTTTTGGTCCATATTCAATAACCTGCCTGAACAGTTCAAATGCGTTTTTCAAACAACCTTCCTTGAAAAACATATTAACGAGAACATTGTATATGTCAATATCAGGACTTACTCCATTCTTGAGCATCAGCTCAAAAATCTGTAATCCGGCTGCTAGATTTCTTACTTTGCAGAATCCATTAATGAGAGTGCAATATGTTACAACATCCAGTGAGAAGCCCCTCTTCAACATTTGGAAGAAAAGCATCAATGCAACATCCTGTCTCCCTTTCTCGGTGATACCTTTCATAAGCACTGTGTGAGTAACTACATCCGGGATTATATCATACATGCTCATTTGGATGTACAGCTTCATAGCATCCTTTATTCGTTTCAATCTACAAAAGCCATCAATCAAGGTATTAAAAGTCAAAACACTAGGATTTAAACCCCTCTTGACAGCCCGGTAAAAGAAACTAAGAGCATCATCTATCCGCCCTTGCTTGCTAAGACCATTTATCAGCACACTGTAAACGATAATGTCAGGAACATGGCCCTTCTTTACCATCTCCTCATATAAACCGAACCCATCTCTCAAATGACCTGATATGCAGAAGCCATGAATAAGACAACTATACGTTAAAACAGATGGCTCAATACCACGTTTCACAATCTGACAGAAAATGCCACAAGCCTCAAGAACCCGATCTTCCTGACATAGACCATTTATAAGTATGCTATAAGTAACCACATTTGGTTCGATTCCTTCTTTCAGCATTACACTATATACTTCAATCCCCTTTTCCAGATATCCAATTCTCACATATGCATCCATTATCGAGCTGAAAAGCACAACATCCAACTTAATGCCTCTATCTAATGCTGCCGATAGAAGGCAGTGTCCCTCCTCCAACTTCCCAGCCTTGAAAAGCCCATCAATGAGAATACTGTACATAATTACATCGGGAACTATACCCTTCGCTATCATTAGATTATACAGATCAAATGCCTCTTCCAATCTCACCTCCTTACAATATGCATTAATCAATGTGCTAAATGTCACCAAACTCGGGTTTGGGCCTACTTCTACCATTAACGAAAATAAATCAGAAGCAACTCCTATGTTATTATGCTGGCAAAGACTTTGAATAATCTTATTACAAGCAACAACATTAGGAACAAATCCTCTCTGAATCATTGCTCTGTGAAAATGTAAACACATTTCAACCTCACCCTTCTTGAGGAAAGCATCCATTACAAAATCATACACATTAAAACATCTACTCTGATCTTCTCTCAACCCATTGCCTATTTCACCACACACATCCAAAATAACATCTACATGCTTCAATTCAACCAAAGACCTCAACATTGTACACATTACAAACGGCTTAAGAAAAATACCCATCTTACACATCCGAAAGAACATGTCAACAGACCGATCAATCATCCCAATTCGACAATAATTTTCGACTAAGAAGCTATAAACAGTGGTAGGATTCGACTCATAATTCCTAAAACCCTCGTGAAACACACCGAAAACGTCATAATCCCCCAAAACCCAGACTCTTTTATCGAACACCTGGCGAGCTTGATCGAACATTCTCTTACTAAGCAGTACATGTACAATACTACAGAAAGACCGAACACTGTGATTAAACCCTAGATAATTCTCGGACCATTCGAAGAACTGGATTGCTGAACTGGGTTTTGAGCGGAGACGATAGAGGATTGATTCTACGTGGTTGGGTTGGAGTTTAGAGAGAGAAAGAGGGTCTAGGTGTTTGAGGTTCCCTTGGTGAAATGCGTCTGTGATTTGGTCCATTATAGGGGTTTCTGATAATGCAGAGTGAAAGTTGATGGATGAAAACATGAATAAGCGAGAGATTGAGATGGGTTTGAGCAGAGAGAGTACCTTTAATGGTGCAGAAGAAGCCGCCATTATTTGAAAATTTTGAACTAACCGTTGGAAGTTCCATATATTCGAGTTTTGGTTTGCTTGAAGGTCACGAGAGGGTTTCGGTGCATCTGCTTGGAAGAGTAGAGAGAGGGAGAGGGGGAGAGAGAGAGAGAGAGAGAGAGTTCAGTTAGAGCCCACTCTGAATTTTCTTTTTCTTTTTCTTTTCCTCTTATTATTTATTTTATTGATCAATTTTTATTTTTGTTTATTTATTGACCGAGTATTTATTTGTGTCCATTCTCTCTTATTTGGCCGGTGTAAGAGAACGACAAAACAAAAATATTACTCGTACAACGACCTGTAAATTTAGTCCCAATCTTTGTTAGATAAAAATGATTTTTTTGCCACATTTTTAGTCGATTGATTTTAGTTATATATGTATATACCCTTCTAATATATTTTTAGAGATTTTGTGCTCCAATATCTTATGCCCTATATTGTAGTTGATACATCATTTGTTCTCTCGTAGGAGCTGGGATTTTTTGTGATACAACACGAGGATATGTGAGTGAGATGAGTTTCATCGGATGAGATTCTTTGTGATATAATACAAGGACACGTGAGTGACACGAGTTTCGTCGAATGTGATACAACACATAAGTTTCTTTTCACCGTGTATGAACTATGTTCAAATGTGATATAACATAGAGAATCCTTCCGGTAGATATAGGAATTCAAAAGACATTCATTGTTGTCTGATCCGAGATGAGTTCCATCGAATGTGATACAACACAAAAGCTTTTTTTGACATGAGTTTCGTCCAATGTGATACAACACATAAGTTTCTTTTCACCATGTATAAACCAAGTTCAAATGTTATATGGCACAGAAAATCCTCCCAGTGGATCTAGGAATTCAAAAGACATTCATTGTTGTCTGATCCATAATACCATCAAGTAACCACTGAATCAAGGTACTAATTCTTAGGCAAACTCCATTTTTTTTCTTTTTGCTAGCAATTAGCCAAGCTCATTTAATTGCTAATTTTTTTTGAATTCTTCTAATACCCTCTGTGCATATCAAATGCTGCCTTACAATGAAGTTTCTGAAGAAAAATAGTTTATTTGTTAATAATATGTTGAGAATTTATTTTTTTGTTATAATTTATAAAAATCCAACATTAACATTCTTGATTTTAATTCCTCCTTTTACTATATTTTCTTGGCATTTGGAATAATGTATTTCCTCCTGTATTTCACAAGAACCAGTTACAAACATGCAGGTAGCTTCATATGACCTTACCACATCAAAATGCACTCCCAGGCAGGAGAGAGAGAGAGAGAAAAAGAGAGAGAGAGAGAGAGAGAGGAGCCATTTACAAACATGCAGTTAACTTCATATGACCTTATCACATCAAAATGCATTCCCAGGCAGGAGAGGGAGAGGGAGAGGGAGAGAGCCAGACAACGAACAAATTCAAATAATATTACGATAGCAACAAGTCTGCACAGCTTATTATTAATCATCTGCCACAAGGATAATAATTCCATAATGAAAATTCACATCCAACTGAAATAATTTGCCACATAAAAGAAAGAATAGAAAAAAGGCATGTCCTATTGGGATCTAATTTCCATAATGCCATTCCTCTGCATCATTCTAATATTCAACAAACACTAGAGAGAACAAGATGTATTCTGGAACCATCAGTAGCACAAAGGGAAGTGAGAGGATCAAAATTTAATAATCCAAGTCCTGACTGATGCCTTGATACCTGGCCCCTCCTTGCGCATTTTACCTGATTAAAGAAAGACCAATGAGAAAATATAAATGAGACAATATAATAAAACAATTATAATAGGTATATGTATTAAATAATGATTCATGGAATATAACTTCAACGTGTTTTCCCTTTCCAATCTCTTCCGATAAGAAAAATAAATATCAAAAGGAAACTTCTGTTTTGTCAAATGTGAAAATGGGCAGGAAAAATTCTATTTTTTTTGTTTCTTTTCTCACTGCCGGTAAGAAGCAGAGGCAACATACACAATAAAAAAAACAAAAATAAATAGAGAGAGCAGGAGAGAAGAAATATAATATGAAATATTGGGGGGAGAGAGATTTCATGTGGCCGAGACCCTATTCATATGGGATTAATGTAAGATGATGATGAAGTGCAGGAAGGATTGATGCAGTTAAAACAGACCATAGACTGCTTTAGTAATTAGTCTGGGTTATTCCTTAATTCTAAAAAATCCCTTGTCTGCTTCTCTGGGTGAGCAGTGGAGTAAAGACGGCACCTGTCCACTGGTTTTTACGAACATGGTACTTTAAAAGTCACAAGGCAGACACACAACAACAGGAGCACATATATTGGAACAACGATATATCAAAGTTGACAATTAGGTGTTTGAAGTTTTAAAACTTTTGAGGTCCTACAGCTAAGGCACTATATATGGTAATTAATAATCCTTGTAACAAAACAACATGGCAACAAAGAAATTGTTTGCTTAAGCAAATTGACAGTTCTATATATCAAACCCACGTTTAAGTCTCTACTAGACAATGTGTTAGGAGCAATTACAGAAGCAATGTGATAATGTAAAAATCAATTTAAAATGGCAGAACATTCACTAATAAGGTCAAGGACTAGCATCGAGTATAATAGAAGAAAGGGGCAATAGAATTGAAGTTCCACCAAAAGTATTACATACGAATTCAGCTATGAAAGAGAACAAAATTAAACTATTACAACCCATTAAACTGCTAATGAATCAAATATACAAACCCATTAAACAACAATGCTACTGACCTCAACCAAAACTCTTATGACTTGCCCGACTTGATTTCAGCCAATACTAGTTTAGTCTATTCCTCAATCAAGTCAACACGCATTAGGTATAACTTCATTTCATCAATCTGCAAATTTCTCCTCCATCTTCTCTGCCTTGGCACTTCCAATCAAACCCATTCCTTCCTTCAAGAAGTTCCTCCCAGACTCCGACAACCCGTGGTTTCTCCACTGCAATGACTCATTTAATCAGGGATACATGGACAAAAAATCCTCTCCACTAGCTACGTATACACCACCCCATATCTTCTTTGAGAGCTCGAATGACTTGTGCTCATGGGGCTTAGAGAAAACCGGATTCTTGCCTTTTTTTCTGCATTTTTCCTGTACTTTTTACTCAACGTACTGATCTTATCTGTTAATTGCTTCCTCGATGGATCGATATGAAGAGACTTTTTGATAAAGTCATGAAAGGCACCCATATCTATGTATAGGTAATCCCCTTTACTTGATGTGTACTCGACCATTTCCTTCAAGATTGCAATTTCATCATCCTCGCTCCAGAACCTACCAAAAACAGAAATATTCTCTTCGACAGATCCATTCTCTTGATGGCCATTGTCAACCTTTTTCTTCTTCCTCTGCGGCTCCAGTATCTCATTTTGTTCCGTCTCTGCAGGACGTTTCACAGTAGGCTTTGAGAGGGATTTCGAAGAGGGGCAATCAGATTTAGATTCTGAAAGAAACGCTTCATCAGTTCTGCTGGTTTGGATTGGATTTTTGGACAGCTGGTGATCTCTTGTCAAGAGGCGGTGACATGGGAGGACTCTTTCCCCCTTTTTCTTCATCCTCTTCAGCTTCTTCTTCCTCTTGATAAACGATGAAAAAATTACAGCCACCACCAAAGCCTTTTTTTCCCGACTACTTGGGTGAGCTACATGAATCATATATTTCCATTCCACTCTATCTAAGGTTATGGCCTCAGTCAAACCATATGTTATCGTATCCTTCCTTACTAACTCTATCTACACTAACTTTGAACTACCACTTCCCCCCTAGTACTAACCCCTTGGGACTATGTCACTCTTCCTTACTAAGAGGATCAAATCTTGGACTTCAATTGGCTTTCCTTTGCCAGGTCCAACTAGTGAGGTTAGTTCTATTTCCCACTCAAGTGTCTTGGAGTCCAGTTTATATTCTTCCAAAGAGGGTCATTAAGGAGGTTGAATGGATTTTAAGAGTCCTCCCATGTCACTGCCTGTTGACAAGAGATCAACAGCTGTCCAAAAATCCAATCCAACCAGCAGAACTGATGAAGCGTTTCATTCAGAATCAGAATCAGAATTTGAATCTGATTACCCCTCTTCCAAACCCCTCCCAAAGTCTGCTGTGAAACATCCTGCAGAGACGGAACAAAATGAGATACTGGAGCCGCAGAGGAAGAAGAAAAAGGTTGACAATGGCCATCAAGAGAATGGATTTGTCGAAGAGAAGATTTATGTTTTTAGTAGGTTCTGGAGCGAGGAAGATGAAATTGCAATCTTGAAGGGAATGATTGAATACAAATCAAGTAAAGGGGATTACCCATACACAGATATGGGTGCCTTTCATGACTTTATCAAAAAGTCTCTTTATATCAATCCATCGAGGAAGCAATTAACAGATAAGATTAGTAGGTTTGAGTAAAAAGTACAGGAAAAACGTAGGAAAAGGCAAGAATCCGGTTTTCTCTAAGCCCCATGAGCACAAGTCAATCAAGCTCTTAAAGAATATATGGGGTGGTGTATACGTAGCTAGTGGAGAGGATTTTTTGTCCATGTATCCCAGATTGAATGAGTCATTGCAGTAGAGAAACCACGGGTTGTCGGAGTCTGGGAGGAACTTCTTGAAGGAAGGAATGAGTTTGATTGGAAGTGCCAAGTCAGAGAAGTTGGAGGAGAAGTGGTTAAATTTGCAGATTGATGAAATGAAGTTATACCTAAAACGTGTTGACTTGATTGAGGAACAGACTAAACTAGTATTGGCTGAAATCAAGTCTGGCAAGTCATAAGGGTTTTGGTTGAGGTCAGTAGCATTGTTGTTTAATTGGTTGTGCATACTTGGTTCATTAGTAGTTTAATGGGTTGTAATAGTTTAATTTTGTTCTCTTTCATAGCTGAATTTATATGTAATACTTTTGTTGGAACTTCAATTCTATTGCCCCTTACTTCTATTATACTCGATGCTAGTCATTGACCTTATTAGTGAATGTTTTGCCATTTTAAATTTATGTTTACATTGTCACATTGCTTTTGTAATTGCTCCTAAAACATTATCTAAGTAGAGACTTAAATGTGGGCTTGATATATAGAACTATCAATTTGCTTAAGCAAACAATTTCTTTGTTGCCATGTTGTTTTGTTATAAGCAGTGTTGTTAAAGGCGCGCCTAGGCTCGAGGCTCAGGTTTAGCGCCTGTTGTCATCCCAGGCTCACTGATGTTTACTAGGCACGTGCCTCGGTTGCGCCTCGTCTTGTTTGTGAGGTGCACCTAGGCGCACCTCATTGATATTTGTTTAAAAAAATACGATTGTCCAATTTCTTAAGCCAAAAAGGGTACTTTTGGCAACTTAATAAACAAAAAAGAGAGCTTAATCATACGATATAAGGAACTTTTGTTCAAAAAAATAAAAAAATAAGAAAGCCCAAAAGTCAAAGTGTTAACCGAACGACGATAGAATGAGATTATGAGACGAAGACGAAACCCTAGTTGCAGAGATGAACAACGAAGCCATGTCAATTCTTTCTTTTCTTTTCTTTTTCTCTCTTCTCCTCTAGATCTCTCCTCTCTTCTTATCTTTGTTTACATCTCTCTCTTCGTCTAGTTCTCTCATCTCTCTGTCGTCTTTTTTTTGCTCTGTTTTTATTCTTCTTTTTTCTTCTTGTTAAGAATTTTTTTTTTTGGTTAACATATTTATTTCTTTATGTGCTTTGTTTTGCCATTCAAAAAACACATTTTGCTTTGCCTTTCAAGAAAACAAATTTGTGCTCTGTTTTATGGTTGTTGGATGCTTGTATAGTTGATGGATTTACTTTTTTATATTTGATATTAATTTTTAGAATATTGATATGACTTATGAGATATGAATGTTATTATGGTAGTTTAAATTTTCAATTGTGCGCCTCACTTCACTCAGGCGCGCACCTCGCGCCTAGGCTCCAAAGGACCTTTAGCACCTTGGTGCGCCTTGGGCCTTTAATAACTATGGTTATAAAGATTATTAATTACTATATATGGTGTCTTAGCTGTAGGACCTCAAATGTTTTAAAAACTTACAACACCTAATTGTCAACCTTGATATATCGTTGTTTCAATATATGTGCTCCTGTTGTTGTGTGTCTGCCTTGCGACTTTTAAAGTACCATGTTTTTACGAGGGCCACCTTCCCATAAGGTATTTGGGGGTGCCACTGATTGCTTCAAGGTTGCAAGTTGCATTGTACAGACTTGGTTGAAAAAATTATAGCCACCACCAAAGCCTTTTTTTTCCTGTCTGTTTGCTACATGAATCCTATATTTCCATTCCATTCTATCTAAGGTTATGGCCTCAATTAAACCATATGTTATCATATCCTTCCTCACTAACCCTATCTACACTAACTTTGGACTACCACTTCCCCCCAGTACTAACCCTTAGGACTATGTCACTCTTCCTTACTAAGAGGATCAAATCTTGGACTTCAAATAGGCTTTCCTTTGCCAGATCCAACTAGTGAGGTCAGTTCTATTTCCCACTCAAGTGTTTTGGAGTCCAGTTTATATTCTTTCTTTGAGTGGATTTTAAGAAGATTCTTTTGGAAGGCTAAACTTGCATGGAATAGGTTTGCTTACCTGAGAGGCCAAGAGCCAGAAAGCATGGATGCTTCCCCAGGGTCACCATGGTAGTATCAGATACGTATCTGATACAAACCGGATACATGTCCAATACAGCTGGAAGTATCTGAAATTATATATATATATATATATATATTAAGTTGGATAGGGCTAGAATAGAGCAGGATACTTCTCGGATATGACTGGGTAAAATCGTAAATATTCTTATAAAAAACAAGAGTCTAATTGTAATAATAAAAAAGTTCATTGTTTAAAAGAAAATAAAAAGAAAAGGACTTAAAAGCCGAAATAGATACTAATTGGCACTCATCAATGCAATGAGAGAAAATATAGAGAAAAAAAAAGGAGAAGGAGAAGAAGAAGAAGAAGAAGAACAAGAAGGGACATCTGGTGTCTATTAAGGGACCGATTAATTTGGGTCCTTCAAGTTCTAGTGTTAGGGTTTTTCTTTTTGTGTTTAATTTAATTGCCTCTTTATTTATGAAAATATCGGTGATTACATTTACATTCATAATGTTATGGAAAACTAATAATTTTTTTTTTTTTTTTTTTTTTAAATATAAAAATTTAATATAGTATCATTTTATTGTCGTATCTTTCCGTATCCGTATCCGTATCCGTACCCTGTTTTTTAGAGTTTCACCACATCCGTGTCGTGTTGTATCCGTATCTCGTATTTGTATCAGTGCTTCATAGCCTAAGACTGAAGGGGGAATTGGCATCAAAGATATTGAATCTTGGAATGTTTGTGTGGATAACAGCTCTACCTTATGGGTGCAATGGGTTAAATCCCAGTTTTTATCTAGAAGAAATCTGTAGAATTGCAAGGCTTCTGGTGACCCCCCTTGGAGACAGAAAAAAGATATTTAAAATGAGTAAAAAATGCAAGAAAGCATGTCAACCATATTATTCTAAGTTGATGCAGATTATACACAAATCACAGGGCACCAAGCACATAGAAGGGAAACTGTAAAGAATGATGTACCTGTATAAATTATCCCCAGCTAATATATCTCATCATCAGGGATATCTGGTGTCAAGAATTTCCTTGGATCTTTGCTGATCTCCTCATAATTCAGTGTACCTTTCACCTTTTCTGGGACAGGGTAAAGAGGAATAATGCTATCTCTATCAATAACCCCATCAATTATTCCATATTCAACTGCTTCAATAGGAGACATGTAACGGTCCCTGTCAATATCTTTCTGAACTTGTTCATATGAGCGACCAGTAAAAGAAGATATAATTTTCGTGATGTTATCCTTGTTATGCATAATTTCTCGAGCTTGAATTTCAACATCTATTGCTTGCCCACTTGCTCCTCCAAGAGGTTGGTGTATCATAATCCGTGCATTGGGCATTGCAAAGCGCTTGCCTTTGGTGCCACCACCGAGGATTATAGAAGCTGTTGACGCCGAAATGCCCAATGCAACTGTTGAAACATCGGCCCTCACAAGCTGTACTACGTCATAGATAGCCATTGTAGCACTGATAATAACAACAAAATCAAATCAGTTAATAATAAAAGTGGGAAAGAACAAGTACTTCCAATAGTTCACATTCTCCAAGTAAAAACATGAAATTTTACTCTCTTTTTTTTGTTTCTTTTTAACAAGTCTTGACATTAAATTTCAGATGTATATGCAATTACTTTCAGTATTACTGGTTCCTTCAATTTCAACTGCGACATTTGATTACTATATATTCGTTCTATGTAGTCTCTGCAATAGAATTGAGTTGTATTATTCTTATTTATTTATTTGTTCCTTTTTTCTTTATTTCTTTTCTTTCTTTTTTGGTCCAAAAAGGATAATTTGGCATGTCCTCACCCCTGTCAGTGTCATCTTTTTAAAAGTTTGATGCATAGGCATGCCACATCAAATTGGACTCCCACTTTTTTCCTTTTTCTTTTCAAATGAAGAATCAACACACCCGCTAGCCACTTTGGACTCTCGGATGGCTTGCAAACTCCGGATGCACGCAATCGCCACAAACCATAGTAGTTTTGATGTGTCGATGACTCCGTATATTTTTCTCACGGAGTGTCAAGTTTTGCATAATACAGGTGCATTGGGATTGTGGAGCTTACAATGAGAAATAAATTAATACACATCAGGAAATGAAAATCTTAATGCAGATATTGGAGGATAGTGTATGATTGGGTGTGATACAATCATTTTGTGAAGTGAATGGTATCAAACACTACATCCCTTGTACCTGAACACTTCAATAAAAAGATTTTTCTTAAGAAAAGAATAACCATTAATTCAAAATTTATTGGCACAAACCTTAACAGAAGAAATACCATTAATTCAAAAGTTATTGGCACAAACATGTGCAGAAGCTTCTTAGTCCAAGGTACTTTTGATTGTTTATTCGTGTCATCAATCCAACCATATCTCAGATTTTCGATTTCAAACCCCATTAAGATTTTATCAATCAAACCCTTCTCTTTGTCCCTTCCTAACTATTTCAATGCTTTTGGTACACCTAATTCTAGATCAAGAGTACTTGTCAGGAAAAAAAATCTACATCGAGTATATAACAAATCCCTAAGCTCCTATATGAACATCTCTTAAGCATTCAACACTCAAAAAATATTGAAAGTTTACCAGCAACCTATTAAGACAATTAATGTTCACAGATCTTTTAACAAAATGCCTCAGCTATGGATGGATTAACATATTACATTTAGGGTAAGGTTCCACTATGTATGTTATTTACAAATCATATTAGTTTAATTGATGAGACATAGCTGTTAAATTAGAGATCTAGAGAGAGGCTCTAAAATTAAGACATTTAAGATAAGTAAAACTATATGAAAATAGAACTACATGGAATATAAACTTCTGTAAAACTAGAAATAAAAGTGAGGACGTAGTGAAGATCGAGGGACTAAGAATTAAAAGTCAAAACATTTTCTTTACCTAGGCTTGAATATGCACAAAGGTGGAAAAATTGGAGAAGGCGCTAATCACATAACTAAAATGGGATAAGTTAAATGGGTGACTACTTCAGGCGTGTCGTTTGATGGCTTATGCCTCTAAAATTGAAAGGTGAATTCTGTAAATCAACTATGGGACCAATCATACTTTAAATTACAGGATGCTAAGGCTAAGAAATAACATATTCATATATTGAGTGCACCAAAAATGCGAATACTGAAATGGATGTGTGACAGACAAGACAAGGAAGGATAAAATTAGAAATGAATGCAGTCGTGAAATGGTTGAAGTAGCTCCAATTGGAGGTAAATAGGAAGAAAATTGGTTTGGCCATGTGCAGCAAGTTAGCTAATTATTGAGGACAGTGCTAGGAAAGAAGGAAAAAAGAAATAACACAAATAAGTTAAGATAGTAAAAAAAATATACGGTACCATGTAATTAGACTGATGCTATGACCTAAATTGGGAAACATGATTAATGTAGCTGACCCTGAAAGATGGGAAACCGGCTTTCTTGAGTTGAGTTGGTCAACTTAGTTCTAGACTTCTGGCGTCATCTTTCTGAAGGTTTAGGGCAAGACTATTCGTTATATGTGAATTTTTTTACTTTCACATGGGACTTCAAACCATAGAAATGGTTTCACTTGGACATTTATAGGTTCCTACCCAAGTAATTTGCACCTGTGGTCAATGTAAATTCAACAAGAATGATCCTTTCTTCAGAAGTAAAACTGATATATGTTTGTAGGCTAGGGACTGCTCTAGATCACATGTTATTTGTTCATAATACAAGGAATAGAAGAAATCTTCCAATGCCAATACTGACAACATTCATTCAAGTGGTGAACTATCAAATCCTTGGAAGATTTCATAAGATACTAAATTAAGGTGACAAGATACAAGTGAGGTTCATCCATTTCCTTAGGCAGAATGTGCTTAATCTACTTAGTCATTTCCAGAAATTGGTAACTATGCCAACCGAAAATCCTATGAAACCAAGGCATAGTAACAATGATGAGCACATTATGGATGTAGGTTGATAAAGAGAAAAATATGGGGAACTTATGCATTATTGATGAAGTGGGTGGTGTGACTACAAGGATAAAGTACTGCTTTATTTGAGGCTGTCCTTCCAACATATTCAAAAGCAAAAAAAAAAAAAAAAAAAAGAAAGGGAAAAAAGAGCTTAGGGAGGCATGTATAATTCTTAATCTTAAGCCATTGATATATAATGGTTGAGGTAAGAACTAGAGAGGATTGTCCTTGTTCAGTTTATGACAAACAATCTACTGAAATATTACCACAATTTAGTGACTATCCTTCCAACGTAGTTAAAGTTAAAAAATCCAAAAAAAAAAAAAAAAACAAAAAAACAAAAAAAAAAAGGAAAAGAAAAATAGCTTAGGGAGAGGTATATAGTTCTTAAACCATGCATATGCAAAAGGTTGACGTAACAACAGCTGAACATTGTTCTTGTTCAGTTTCTGATAAACAATCTACTGACGTATTATCATACTTCTATTAGACGGGTATTCAGTGAGCTAGACAAAGTAAGAAAAAAAAATAAAAATAAAAAGTGGCCAACTGACCACAATATTAACATGAAGGCAGAACACAGAGCTATGGCATATGAATTTATTAGTGATAATGACACCATCTGATTTTTTTTGATAATGACACCATCTGATTTTTTTTTATAATGACACCATCCGATTAGAGGGATAATATGTGCACCGAGCCAACAACTTACACTGAAAATAAACAAGGATAATTGTAACTCATAAACTAGCTTAACGGGATGGCAAGAAGCACATTGAAGGTCAAAACACACTGTACCATGGTCTAGAATAATTTTGTACTTCATATGGTACAAAAAAATCAACAGGAAACAAATGTCCTTATGAAGGCTGCAAGCAAGATTTAGATTGTGAAATTGAAGGAAAGCTAAAAAGGAGGAATATGATGCATCTAGAAAGTGACAAGTATTGTCAGCTAGACAGATCTTTCTCACGACTGTTATTATCCTTAAATGAATGCTAATGCCTTTGCACTTCATTACTGTAAAGTTTATACATAAAGTAAATGTTATCCATCCCCAATTCAGTTGCTTGTCTTTCAACTAGCTGGATCGTTAGAAACCCAAAAAAGAATGGGCTGGTCATTGACCTCGGATTTACAGTGATTTGACAGATTCCAAGCTCCAAAACTCTCAAATAAAAATAAAGTATTACAGCTCCCTAGACAAAAAGCATCAGCATTCAAAATCAATTCGTCAACAATATTTTCTCAATAAGGTTGGGGTCTCCAACGTGCTCCTTCCTTGGGTGAATAATTTGCATTGGAAGATGATTTCATCAGTAAATCCATTCAAAGCTTTAATGCAATCTAACATTGCCATTTGGTCCCCATGGGCAGATAAAACTTGGTCTTATTTGGCCTTTGAGAGTTGTTATTTTGGACTCTTTGAGAGTTTAGAGGCCCTATTTGGCCTTGTGTAGCTTTTGATGGATGTGTTCCCCTTTCGAACACTCTATACAATTTTACTTGCCAAAAAAAAAAAAACTTGGTCTTACCTCATAGGTTGGTCTACCATAACGCTGATACTGAACGAATTCATCATTTGCAGCACCATCACCCTTTTTTTTTATGGTACTCTGACCCCTTACAAAATTTGGGAGAAAAAGGACACGTTATATTGCCCTAGGAGGAACCATCTCCTTCCCCAATACTCTCATTAATTTCCTATATTGTGTTCCTTAGGCTCTATGATGCTACCCCATCCACTTGACAATACCCTAGGTTCAAGATCTTGTTAAGCAAATTAGTCATAGCAGGTAAGTGTGCAACCATAATAGACATCCAAAACTCAATTTAAGTACCATTCAGTCCTAAGCCTTGCTTCTTTTCTTTCTTTTCTTTTTTCTTCTTTTTATGGAAAAGTTTGCTTATTTACAAAGCCTTTCTTCTTCAAAGCTTTTTTTACCTCATAACCAAATACTCTCACAAAATTATTGGAGATTTCTTTCAAACTGATTATAAATTTAGGAGTTCTCAAGTGAATAATAAAAGTAAGTGTGTCTATGTTTTGCCCACACGGGCAACTCAACTGGTAAGGACATCGGGGGTACTCCCCCTTATGTCTCTGGTTTGGGATTTTGCCAAAGGTGAGGTTTGGGACTTAAATGATGCACATGGTTTGCGGGTGATAGCATTCATCCGAAGTTTGCAAAGCATCCGAGAGTTCAAAGTGGCTAGCAGGTGGGTCAATTCTTCATTATCAAAAATAAATAAATAAATAATATCTATCAAAATAATCACTATTAAAAGAAATAACCCTTGGAAGTCGTTATCTGTATATAAAACTTGGAAGGACACAGGATGCCACCCCTTTTAGGCAAAGGCATGTAATAAGATTTACCTCGAAATAACCTATGAACTATCCAATGGTCCACTGGCTCTGAACGGCCCTTATAAACCCAATCTAAAGCCATAGAGTACCTCCAAAGGCCTGCAAAAGAATGAAGATTCTGTGTAGAGGACGTAATCCCATAAGTCCTACATTCCCCAATAGTGAGTCACAAGTATTAATCCACAACAGCTAATATATCTGTGCACATCTATAAACATAACTCCTCCCGAAATCAAATTTTCAACCATCAACCACCACTTTATTATCCTTGTTTCTTTTCTTTTTCTTCTCTCTCTCTCACCTTTTTTTTTTAGATAGATAATTTCCTTGAAGTCTCTAACATCTCTCCTATTAATAAGGAAACTCAGATTAGAGATGAGAGATTCTTGACCTTATAGGCTATCTAACTCCTCAACTTGGGTACCTCCCACATCCAACGCATACATGTATCTAGATTCACTTTGAAACTAATGTTGCCTCAAAACTTCAAATAGTGCATCTAATAATCCTCAGTTATTGAGTAGTAGGTTCCCACTGCTTAACCTCCGTACTACACAAATTTTGAATCCTATTTGGTCTCTTTTGACGCTCCTTTTTTTTTATGTTTTGAGTTCAAATAATCTCGATAAATCCCCATGTTGTTCTCATGACCCTCATCATTCAAATTATGTTGTCTATTGAAACTCGAACCATTGATTTTCTTTTCATGTCAAATTAAATTACTCATAACAAATGCAGAATAATAAGTGCTCAATGGAATTGTTAGATGTAAGCATATTTAAGATTCAAAACCTTCTTACAAATCCTCTGATTTTATCCCCTACATATATGCACCATGCAAGCCCTTTGTTCCTTGTCCAGAAGTCCATCACATAAGGTAGGTGTTAAGAGGCCATATCAAATGCTTGTTCTTACAAGGATTATAATTAAATTTCCAAAAATAAACAAAAAGATAAAGAAAAAGGAAAAGGAAAGGAAAAGAAAACAAAAATAGCTTCCCAGGGCAATATGCGAAGCATGAATGCATGTTGGAATTTCAGTTTTCTTGTATCAGGTTAGTCTTTGGACACTTCGCTCTATTACTGTTTCCATAGTTTTCAAATGACTAGTTGTTAGTTCTAAAACATAATAGTAGTTGGAGTTTTTATTGTTTCCCTTACTCATATATGCCACAAAAAACTACAACAACAATCAAATATTTTCCCAACTACTTGAGGTCGGCTACATGAAATTTTTCCATTCCACTATTTAAGGCCATAACCTTAGTCAAACTACATGTTATCATGTCCTTCCTTACCAACTCTACCTATGTTAACATTGGTCTTCCTTTTCCCTAGTAGTACCCCCAATGTGGACTATATCACTCTTCCTAACTGGCGCACTTAAAGGTCTTCTTTACACATGTTGAAACCATCTTAACCAATTTTCTATCATTTTATCTCAAATTGGTGCTACTCCAACCATCTCACAAATATGAATATGTTATTTCCTCACTGTCCATCCCCAAAAATACATCTGGTCTAATAACTGTTCAATAAAACTTCCCTTTCAATCTTAAGGGATACCCACACAATATGCTAGATGCACTCCACCATTTAATCCATTCTGCTTTGATTATATGATAACATCATCTCCAATTTCTCCGTCACTGTGAATAATTGAGCCTAAATAACGAAAATGTTCACCTTTTGTACCTCTTGATTCTCAATCTTCACTACATCCTCATTTGTATTTCTAAATCTATAAAGTTACACTCCATTTATTAAGTTTTATTTCTACTTATATTAAACCCTTCTAGTTCTAGAGTTTCCCACCAAACCTCCAATTTGGCATTGACTCCTTTTCTAGTATCATCGATTAAAACAATATCATCCACAAATTATATACAACATGGAATCTCATCTTAAAGTCAGCTCATCAATAATCAAGGCCAAAAGGCATGGGATAAATTTTTTATTTTTTTAACAAGGCAAAAAAATAAAAAATAAAAAAATTGTTGCCTCTTGATGTAAGCCTGCAATAATGGAAAATTCAGATGTTTCCTCTACAGTCACCCTAACTATAGTCACACAACCATCATACATGTCCTTTATTGTGTCAATATCCCTTTGTGACTCATTTCTTTTCTAAAACCCTCCAAATTACTTATCCAAAAAAAAAAAAAACAAAACCTCCATACTAGATCTTCAGGTACCTTATCATAGGCTTTTTCTAAATCAATAAAAATCATATGGATATCTTTCTTCTTCTCTCTATATCTTTCCATTATTCTCCTCAATAAGTAAATAGCCTCCGTAGTTGACCATCCTAACAAATTAATTTTTTGACACTTCAGTCTCTCATCTTAGGTGTTGTTCAATCACTCTTTTCCATAGTTTCATAATATGACTTATTAATTAAATACCATGATAAATTGATAATTATTACAAATTTGTATGTCTGCTTTATTTTTATATATAGGTATTCAAATACTTTTGGCACCACTGATCAGGCATTCTATTAGTTATTATTATCTTATTAAACAATTTTGTTAGCCAAGACAAGCCATCCCAAACACACCACCCCCACCACCCCCCTCAAGACACTTCCAAACCTCAATAGGAATGCTATTGGACCTTAAAGCCTTTCCTGATTTCATCTTCCTTGAGGCATTTCTAATTCCTTGACCCTACGAAAAATATGTTACTCCTAAGGTTACTATATTCTTCTAAAATGGTTTTTCTTGCCCTTCCAACATTTTTCATGGTTTCTACAATCTCATGGAACAACACAAGCAACCAAGATAAGCCATTACAATCCACACACACCTCTCCAGTGCCCGATTTGCTTGCCACCATGTCCTTATTTTATCTCATTTCTTCAAATTCCTCATAATCTTCATGAGAAATTGTTGCGAAGATCTCCTCATCCTTCACTGCAATTTCATGGTCCACCCCCTTGGTGCACCACCATGGATCAGTATTTCAGATACTTTTAACAATTAAATTTATGGCTACTGAAACTATTTTACGATTCTATCTACCAGTAGAGGACTAATATTTAACACCTTCTTTAACTTTTTTCCAAACTTTCTAATTCCTAAGCCCTAGCAAAGCTTCTAAACAAGGACCATTCTAGGGCAAAACCACAATTGATGAACTAGAACCCTCCTTCCCTCCAAAAAAAAAGAAAAAGAAAAATGATAAAATCAATAGATATAGTGCACAAGTTCATATTTAAGCCAAATATTTTAAAACTTCACACTAGAGAAAGCAATTAATCATTACCCTCCAAGATATCTTAAGTACCGAACTTCTGGAAATTGGAATCGTATATGAAGATTTTACACAATCCTCCCAAAAATATATAAACTTAAAAGTGAAAACTAATTATAATGAAGGAAAACACAACACATATATGCATAGTTGCATGCATAGAAAGCAATTTACAGATACTCACATGGCCACATCAACTGATACGAAAAACTAGCTTAACATATTACACATATACAAAACACTATATGATCATAGAAATAGGCAATAAAATCAAATTGACCACCAAAATCACATGTACATACCTCAGAGACCCACCGGGCGAATTGACGAAGAGTCTGATATCTTTGCTTGGGTCTTGTGCATCCAACAACAGTAACTGACTGATAATGGCGTCAGCAACGAAATCGTCGATGTTGTTGCCCAAGAACACGATCCTCTCCCTCAGCAACAGCCCCATAGCGTCAGTTTCAGCGCCTCTCATGGCAGTGGCCGGCGACTGTGGAGCGGATAAATGGAGAGACAAATGAGGCTCTCTGAGCCCCAACCCTAGACTACCTAGGGCATTGGAACTCGTAGATGATGAGGTCAATTGCTGAGAACCAAGCGAGCATTTCAAAGATGATGATGATATATAACGTCGGACAGAGAAAGAAGGGGGTTTAGGGAGAGAATTACGGAGTCTGAGAGATCCCAATGAGTAGTAGGGAGAGAGAGGGTGAGGAGAAAGTGGAGCTGAGATAGAGAGCAAGTCCATGGTCTAGTGAAGCAACAGGAGAGAGAGAGATGGCTAAGGCATGAAAAATTATAGTTCACTGTTATAAACCCACTTTCATGAAATTACAATAACACCCATCACTGAGGATTTGACCGCCCGCCCCAGACAACCCTAAAACTGTCACTTCGCAAACCTCTTTCTATTGTGTATGACACTTGGGTCGGCCCATTTACTTACTCATTAGCCCATGACAATAGTGTATCTATATACAGATATGTATGTTTAGCTAGCTATCTCGCCCCCTGGACGGTCACCGACTCTAGGGTTTTGAAGCTATAGCAAATGTGCTGTAAAATTTCAAACAAGCATATATATATTCTATGAAAAGGCACCAGTTTTGTAACTTATAAAATTTTTCTTTTTATATATTTTTTATTTTTAATTTGAAACTTGTAACAATAAACCTTATAAAAAAATCTGCAATTTTATATAAATTAATACTTACATACCATAAATAATCAAAATTTTAGCCTCAAAACTCCGATAATATAAACAAAAATAAATATCTACAACATATATATATATATAAATACTAAGAAAAGGCACCAGTTTTGTAACTTATAAAATTTTGCTTTTTATATATATATTTTATTTTTAATTTGAAGGCTTGTAACAATAAATCTTACAAAAAAATCTGTGATTTTATATAAATTAATAATTACATACAAAAATAAATACCTACAACTCACAAAAGCAGAATTTCAAATTACAAAATCAAAATACAAAATTAAATAACTAAAACATGTTCTAATAAATTTAAAAATTTAGCAATCAGTAACTTAAGATATAATGTATATGAGAAATGATAGATTTTTCGACTTCAATTGTCGACTATTCCTTCGAATATAACATGATTGGGAATGAGTCGAAAAGAAAGTGATGTTTACGGAAATTTTTTTAAGAGTTTCAATGAAATCCAATTACGTTGTATTTGTATATGAGTCAAACAATTAATGTCGAAATACCTATCATTTTTCAATACCGGGAGTTATGAGGTTGACGGTAGATATAATATAGGGAAAATTACATATAAATGGAGTCAAAGTTCCATATTTACTTAGAGGCTGAGTCAAAGTTCCATATTTCTCTAAAATGGATTGCTGAGGTGGCACATGGTTTTTTACTGTTTAGAAATTGTGGTGTCTAAAATACCCTTCCGCGAAGGTACTACTTTTTCTTCGAAGGTACTACTTTTTTGAACTGAAGGTACTACTTTTTGGTGTCCAGGTACCATGTTTTTTAAACACCCACGAAGGTACTACTTTTTCTTCGAAGGTACTACTTTTTTGAACGGAAGGTACTACTTTTTTGAACTGAAGGTACTACTTTTTTGTTAGGGAAGGGCATTTTAGGCACCACAATTTTCTAAACAGTAAAAAATCATGTGCCACCTCAGCAATCCATTTTAGAGAAATATGGAACTTTGACTCAGTCTCTAAGTAAATATGAAACTTTAACTCCATTTATATATAATTTTCCCTATATATATTAGGAAAATGATATTCACGCCCAATGGATTTGGCCGATTTGTTTGGCAAATCCTAAATGGCGTCTAGTTGGCTAAAACAATAGTCCATTCATCTTCCCGTCTCTCCTCTCTCTCTCTAACCTCCCTCTTTCTATTCCCACTCTTCTCTCTCTGCCGGTCCTCTCCTCACCATCTTTGGCTCTCTCTCAAACACTCCCAATTGTTCAAACCTATGTGCCACCCTTACAGTTCCCAACACAACCACCACGGAAGCCATATTAACAGACCTGCAAAAAACCTATATCTAAACCCTCATTTTTGTCAAGAAAAATGGCATCTTTGGCCTTCAAATCCCCACCTCCAAAAACAAAACAACAATCTTCTCTCCAAAACCCTCATTCGGCTGCGGCCATGACTTCGTGGAGTTTCTTGGACACGGAAGATCTGGCGGTGTGGGTCGGCGATCTCGGAACGGACTCTGCGGATGGAAGATTGGAGGGTGGCGAGGGAGCAGAGCTAAGAGAGGAGGCCGTGGTGGAGGGAGAGGACCTCGGAACGGCGCGGTGGCGAGAGAGGACCTCGGAACGGCGTGGTGGCGAGAGAAGCCTCGGAACGGCGCGAGCGGCTGATGCCATCTTAATGCTTCTCAGTGCAGGTGGCGGCGGTGGTGGATTGCCATTTGAGAAGGCTAGAGAGAGCTTTCTGTTGAAAAAAAAAAAAAAAAAAAGAAATTTAGACCCAGAAGTTACACCACGCCAGAACCATGGATGATCGTTCAGAGAATCAAACAACAGATGTAAACCTCCACCACCCAAATGGAACCAGATTGCCTAGTCTGATTTTGATGTGTTATTTTGGTTGTTCTCTGGGTTGTGATCGGGGAATGGCGCGTGTAATAATCTCAACGCGCTGAAGCCAAATATGGTTAATTTATGCCAGTTGGACTGCCATGTCAATTCTGCCCAGTAAATAGGCCAGACATTTCGGTCTGGGTATCACCACCCTGTATATTATAGGGAAAATTACATATAAATGGAGTTAAAGTTCCATATTTACTTAGAGGCTGAGTCAAAGTTCCATATTTCTCTAAAATGGATTGCTGAGGTGGCACATGGTTTTTTACTGTTTAGAAATTGTGATGCCTAAAATACCCTTCCGCGAAGGTATTACTTTTTCTTCGAAGGTACTACTTTTTTGAACTGAAGGTACTACTTTTTGGTGTCCAGGTACCATGTTTTTTAAACACTTGCGAAGGTACTACTTTTTCTCCGAAGGTACTACTTTTTTGAACTGCAGGTACTACTTTTTTGAACTGAAGGTACTACTTTTTTATTAGGGAAGGGCATTTTAGGCACCACAATTTTTTAAACAGTAAAAAATCATGTGCCACCTCAGCAATCCATTTTAGAGAAATATGGAACTTTGACTCAGTCTCTAAGTAAATATGAAACTTTGACTCCATTTATATGTAATTTTCCCTTATAAAAAAATGCTAATAATCTCCTTGTACTTTTAACAATAGTATAAATATGTGGTGGATCACATACTAGTTAGCTTGAAATAAGGTCAAATCCATCTTAAAGACTTTAAGCAGTGTGATGATAGCCTAAGACATACACAATTAGCCGTAATATATATATGTTTGGAGTGCTAACGACGGTCTTTGCACAGTCGCTATTGTGTTTGGTTAAATGATTGGTTTTTCAACCAATCACAACGACTGTGCAGCGACATTCGCGCTAGCACGACTGTCGCTAGCACTCCTCTATATAAATATGTATATCTCTCTTTACCATGTCGTCTGATCCGACTTCAGAATATTAGCAGTTTTGCACACTGAAGTGTGCTGGAGAAGATCTGAGTCCGTCTTATCAGCGGCGGCGGACAAATGTAAATAGAATCCACAGGTGAATGCTTTATCTGTTACCTGCTATTGAATTCATATTGAAATTTTAGATTATTGTCTGCCTTCATTTCATATTGGCCTTCCTTGATCGAAATCAAAAGGATGTATGATGATGATCACAATGAAAATAATAATATAGAACGTCTAGATATATGACAAATTCACAAACATATGCGTAATTATATCTGAAGATAATGAACTCTGAATTGTTGTTTTGCAAACGTGAATACAAGTGTTGAGAACTTAGGATTTTACTGTCTCAGACACTGATGTTGCAAATTTAGAATCAAGTTCATGGTCATGCAGTGTCTATGGGCAGAAATCATGAGGAATGGTGTTGCACTTGTATCGTGGCCTCTCTGACTTGGTAGAGCGGGCCTTGAGCGTAAGGTGCATACAGAAAAAGGTGTTTAGACAGCGACGGCCAGACAGCCGTTGAGATGGATCCACAGGCGAATGGCTTCACCTGATTCTTGCCTACTAATTCCACCTGTCATTTTCACTCTACTTCCATTAGTTCAATGTCATATTTGGTTAAAACTTATGACATCGAAAATATGGTAGAACGTGGCTAGCTGAATCCATGGGTGGTAAAGAAACCATGCCTTTGGATAGACCAAATTTGACAGTAAAGGCTGAATTATCAAGAATTAGTTCAACATTTCTAACAGCATCAGTACACAACCTAAGATATTGCAATTGTTAGTGGTGAGTACATCAATTGATTTACTTTTTTCATGTAATCAGTTTATAGGGGTTGGGGAAAGGCGGGATGGAAAGCACAAAACCATCTACAACACAAACAATTTCGCTATAATCCGATCAGTAAAAGATACTACACTTGACAAGAAAGTTAACCCCATAGCAGACGGTATATCAGTCCTTACTGATCGTCTTCCTCCTCTTGTGCATCATCTGCGGCTAGAAGATGATTAAGAGCAACCTTTGCCTTCTTCGTTCCTGGTACGCTTTCCTTTGTCTCATCTTCATCACCCTTCCTCTTGACCGGTTTTTCATTCTCATGTTCTGCTGCTTCATGCATGGCTACAGAAGCTTCACCACCAGAAACCTGTGTGTTTTCCTGGACTGAGGATTCCGGATGAGCTTCTTCAGCTTTCCCTGCACTGTTCAAATCTTTTTTTTTAGATGCTTCTTTACATTCTGTCAACAATGAGCGGATTTCTTCACTACTTGCAAGGTCAATAGGGGTTTTCCCGGCTTTTGTCTTGGCATTGAGACTTGCACCTTTCTTCACCAAATACTTGACAAGTTCCAGGTGGGAACCTTGAACAGCATAGTGAAGAGCAGTTGTGCCCTTGCGATTGCAAGATTTGACAGAGATCCCAGATGACAGAAGTATTCGAACAACTTCTAAATGGCCCTTTTGGGCAGCAAAGTGTATTGCGCCCATGTCATCCATGGCAGCAGCACCAATATCAGCCTTGTTTTTGCAGAGATAACTCACCACCTCTGCATGCCCAGACCATGCTGCCAAATGTAATCTATGGTCCAATGTTTTTTGAATCAAGGAAGAAACGAGCTAAGAAAGAGAATGCTAATATGGATCAGAAGTAGTAAAAAGAAAAGGCTAAAATATCCAGAACCAGTCAAATTTTTTGACAGGAGAGGATAAGAAGAGATGCAGTGTTGTTCAGGGAATTCTTGGGAGTGCCCTTATTCCATTCAAAATGGGAATAAACACATGTAGACACTTACAAAAAGACTCCGTGGTCTCATTCATTTTACATAATATTTCCACCATCACTTGGTAACTTGCAGCCAATAATAACCAGCTGAATACTAAAAAACACACCAAGGTTAAAATAAAAAAAAAATGCACTCGGAGGAACAGTAATACATTTATCAACCAATTACTCGGCAAGGCATAACTGTCACTAAAATCGCAAAAAGACAAGTAGCAAGTTTTGACACCATTAATCAAGGGTGATAAGAGGGGTGGACAAGCTACAATGCTAAAAATAGCTTTTACTTATAAAAAAAATGCAAAAAATAGCTTCAAAAAAATGCATATGCTTGGAAGCCTGAGCTACCACAGTACCAAATAATGGCCCCAATACAAATGAGAAGGCTTTCTGATGGGAGATTGTGAGGGGTTTCACGACGACTTTTATTTGCTTTCCATTCAAAATGCGAAGAAACACAATTAGAAACTTACAAAATGACTCATTGATCTCATTCATTTTACATAATATTTCCACCATCACTTGGTAACTTGCAGCCAATAATAACCAGCTGAATACTAAAAACACACCGAGGTTACAACAAAAATGCACTCAGAGGAACAGTAATTCATTTATCAACCAACTACTCGGCAAGGCATAACTGCCACTAAAATCGCAAAAAGAAAAGTAGCAAGTTTTGACACCATTGAGCAAGGGTGATAAGAGGGGTGGACAAGCTACAATGCAAAAAATAGCTTCAAAAAAATGAATATGCTTGGAAGCCTGAGCTACCACAGTACCAAATAATGGCCCCAATACAAATGAGAAGGCTTTCTGATGAGAGATTGTGAGGGGTTTAACAACTACTTTTATTTGCTTTTCATTTTAGTTCATCTATAAAATGCTGCATGTAAAAAATTCAGTAACTTTTTTGAAGATTACTGATTATCGTGATTTTCAAATTTCTCTATTTGTCTAGTATATCTAGTCATTCTTTTCTCAGCCCCTTCATCTATCTTCTCACCCCTCCTAGTCTCAGCTCTTCTTCTGTGTCTCCTCATCCCCCTACTTTCTTTCTGATCCTACATCACCCTCTCTTTTAAAGGTTTATCTACACCAATAACTCAGAGCTTGTTTACCAACAAAAAAAAGCCATTAGACAGCAAGATCTATACAATTTAAGATAAGAACACGACTTCAATCTTTCATCTCATTCTTTGCATTGTCAATTTGACCAACTTGGAGTTTCTATGAAGTGAACGTCAAGAGCACCTCTAATGTCATAACATAAAATAATTTCCATAATTTTAATTTAACTATCAGATGTTCCAAATATGCATACCTTCCTATTGTCATTATTGGAAGGATGCAACATGTATTGACATTCTAAAGCACCAACTGCAAACCTGAATTTCAGCAATGGGGGTGTTGAGTGGCAAAATGCCTTGGAAATTTAACAAGCTCAGTCTAATTCTGGAATGGACTACGCTTCCTAAAAAGTCCATAAAATAACAAATGATTCAACTAAAAAGGAAAAAATAAAAGGACTTTAAGCACAAAATGGGCACAGTTCTCAAAGTGATTCCCTCGTAAATTAAAATGACAAGTTAGGATTTGGGATTTGCTCAGACACGAGTAATAATTTGAAAGCTGTAACTAATGGAGAACATGTTATGCAGTATATTCAATTCATCTCAGTCAATAAATTAATAAATAAAATGTTGGGAGAAAGGAAGTAAGCCATTGAAAATGACAAATAAACCCCATGGAATGCATAATTAAAAGCAATTCCTTTTCATTTATTAGCTTTTCTAAAATTATTTAAGACGGATGTAATATTGAAAAATATTTGCAGTAAATCAACCATCTATGCAAGGTGCAAGCAGGGGAAGACTGGAGACAAATAATCTTTAATGCTTTGTTCGGTAGGAAGGAAAAAAATTGAATAGAAGGGAGAGAGGAAATGATGACTGAGACATCCCTAGGGAAGAGATTAAGTGTTTCCCTCTTTTTGTTCGGTTTGATGGAAGAGAATGAAAAAAACTGAAAATTTAATTTGATCTGTAGGATAAAAGGAAAGATAAATTTTTAAGTTGTTTTTACCATCAAACCCATTCCTTACTTTATTTATGAGATTTATTAAATATTAATGAAGGGTGATTTAGTAACTTAAAACTTCTATAATAGACTCACTTGTTTCTCTCCTATCTTCCGCCCATATTTGGGCGGATGAAAATTTGTGAAGGAGGAAGGATGGATGACTTATCCTTCCTATTATTCTTTCTTTCCTTATATCATCTCTACCGAACGAAGGAAATTTATTCCTTCTTTCCTATTTTCCTTTCACCGCTCTTCTTTCCTTCCTACCGAATATTGTATAACGCTCTAACATTAACCAACAACCTCGCACTTGTGAGTCTCAGCCTTTATATTGCACCAAGAGCAATGAACCTTAACCATCCAGGATAAAATTGGATGAAATATGCTTGGAGAGAAGCATGTGAGTAAATTCTTCTAACTAACACAAATGATGTAATTAGAATGTTGCATTAAAATCAAGCACTCTAGGAAATTGATCTCGTGAAGAATCAAGACCTTCCTACCACGACACATGGCACATGACAGTTGAAGTAATGAGTTCTGATCTGGCAGAAAATAATGTCAAAAGCCTATAATATAGAAGTCTTCATGGATTTATCAGAAATCTTAGATGGGGTGTGTGGGTGTCATACCCTCGAGTTTACATAGCAAACGCCACATCATCAACAATGGCCCACACAGCTCGGTCAAGCGATCAACGAGCTATGCCACATCAGTAGCGATCGCCCACATAACCTGGTCCAAAGTTATCGTGGCATCAGCATACTTCAAACAGAAGAACGAAGACCTGAGTTGGGAGCAGGACTCAGGATTACGTGAGATCTGAGGAGGTTTTAGTTTGGTGGATGAAGTCCAGGGTTCGTCAAGCCGACACTCGGCCTGACTTGTAGAGAGAGAAATACCATTTTGACTCCCGAGCATTTAATCCCATCTTATTTAACATTGCTTTGTAATTATTTAATAAATTAATCTCTTTAATTATTTTGTTAATGGGCCCACATACGATGTCATCAATGACATCACCTGCTCTCACTTGGCCTATAAAAAGATAAGACCTAAGGCTAAGAAGGGGGTAGACAAAAGGAGGGAGAAAAGGACCTCCCAGATTTAGAGGTTGTAGTCTCTCTCTCGAATCGATATTTCTCCCCACACTTCACACCTTCATCAAGGGAGTCAATGGTGTTTTTGTACACTGCCATCCTCTTTCTATCTCTCTCTCTAGTTTGTGTGGGCTTCCACCTCTCTCAATCCACCTCGGACTCCATCATGTTGCAAGGTATACCTCACCATTTGTTACTTTATTATGATTTGGAACCCCCCTGAGTATCAGGTACCTGATCTTTAGTTAATGAGATATTCATAAAGCTAACTTGGCGTTTTTCGATAATGATAGATAGTAGGTGGACTTTGGCATGTAGTGTCATATATATATATATATATATGCGTGCTATATAGATGTGACTAGTCAGCAAATAAGATTTTTGTGGCTGTAAAAGAGAGTAATGAAAAGTGAGATATTTTTTCTTTTTTCAACAATTGAAGGGATATGATACTTGTGGTTGTAAATGAAAGTCAAAGAAGTGAGCCTTTTTCCAACAGGAAAGAGTATTTCTCCTTTATTCTCAAACTGTAAATTATTTTAGAGAGAAGGGGTCGATGTATGCTGTATAGTGTACACATATATGTGTGTAAAAATAATAAGTCATAGAATGCAACAGAAAGCGAGACCCATTTCAGAACTATGGTGATTTAAGAGAATGCAAGCAGCAAAGTAATAAAGTGCAATATTTGAGATGAGCAATATTTTTAAGAGGAAAAAATATTGAACCAAGAAAAGAGCATGGAGTGAGATCACTGTATGAAGCGTAAGTTTATAGAGAAATCTTTCATTTTCCAAGCCAGCGAGTGCAAGATTGAAGCCCAAACCAGTAGATCAATAGAGGGCTTCTGAGTTCTTCCATTTCCACAAAGGACTCCTTCGATGATTTACACGAGAATACCTCCCCAGCATAATCGCCAAATGTTTACTTGTGTCAGTATATTACTTTTTATTGTTAGGTAGTTAAAAACTGCCGAGGCAACAGGCTGATATTTTGTCGATGAATGACCCTTCGATTTCCTTGTCCATGACCCTTCGATGAGTCGTGTGCATTTGTATATATACACACTTCCTGCTGCATTGACTCATTATTTTTATTATTTTTACCCGCATATATGTATACATTATACAACATTCAACCCCTTCTCTTAAAATAATTTACAGTTTGAACATTAATGAGAAATACTCTTTCCTGCTGAAAACAAGCTCACTTCTCTGACTTTCATTTACAGCCACAAGTATTATATCCTTTCAACTGTTGAAAAAATATATATATATGTATATCACTTTTCCTTACTTTCTTTTACAGCCACAAAAATCTTATCTGCTGACTAGTCACATTTATATAACACGCATATATATATATATATATGATACTACATGCCAAAATCCACCTGCTATCCTTATCTAAAAAGGCCATGTCAGCTTTATGAATATCTCATTAAATAAAGATCTTTATTACTACATTGAAGACCCACGCGATATATTATAATTTTATAAGTGCAGCCATACATATATACATATATATGCACACATGTATACATCGACCCTTCTCTATTGGTGGAAATCTCATTGAAATGTTGAATTCCTTCACTTCAACGCGATTTCTATAAACAACTCG